GAGAGGGTTTCTTTTATGGCTGAGAAAAAAGGCTCTCTAGACAGAGGTCAGCTTTCTATTTTCAAAACGACAGAATTCATCTAACTGGCAACAAATCAAGACTTCATTAGATTTAAAAAACTGGCCAAGACAGACCTTTGGGCAGCTAAAAACCCCATCAACACATGTCTAATGCCACTTACAATAAGACACGTTTGAAGCCCACATGTATGGCTTCACCCTGAATCCGTCTCAGGCTGCACCTCCCACTATGATAAATGCCTTTCCACACAAAGAGAAGTATTTAATTAGCAATCAGCATAAAGAACCACAAAGTATATGGTACTTCATTATCTTACAAAACCCCAGTGAGCCTAAGTCTGTGGCCGCAAATGATTTATGTGGATGAGGGGACCCTACACACTGGCAGCTGTTGCTCAGGGGCTGGGGGGAGGGGGAACAGCGCCGATGCACAAGCGTAGTGCATACAGTTCCTCCTATCAATTTGTGGGACAAGGCTCAGCGAGACAGAGATGAGCACCTGTTGCAGCCACGCTTCCTTCCCGCCAGCTCTCTGCAGCCCTCAGCCGTGCTCTTTGTGGGGCCCTCACTGCCCTGGCATGTAAAAATGTTCATGCACATGTGCAACCTGGGCTCTTCAAGAGGGTGAGCTTCAAAGCTGCTCACAATCTAGCCAGGGAACACTCCTGATGATAACTTTTTAATGGTGCAATTCTCATGTTTTTGGCTCAAAATCTTCCCTTCTTTAGCCATGGAAAATAACTTCTAAAATTTCATCTCAAATCACAATAAGATACTTACTACTTCACAACCACTAGGATGGCCAGCATCCAAAAGTCAGACAGTGGTTAAGTCCAGGTGAGGATGAGGAGAAACTGGAACCCTCACACACAGCTGGCTAGTGAAATGTGACATGGCGCAGCCACTGGGAAAACGGCCTGGCAGTTCCTCAGTCCGACACAGAGCGGCCATGTGACCTGGCAATCCCACCCCAAGGTACATACCCAAGAGAAATGGGGAAGTACGCTCACACAGAAACTTTCACACAAATGTTTATGGCAGCATTATTCAGAATACCCAAGAGGTGGAATGTCCATCGGGTGACAAATGGGTGAGCAAAACATGTATCCATACACTGGAATATCATCTGGCCACAAAAAGGAAGTTAATACTGATGCATTCACACCACAGAGCAGCCTCTAAACACGGTGCCCAATGAGAGGCCGACACATCGTATGGCCCCCATCGTATAATTACACTCGCTGTGAACCCCCCAGGGCAGTGCAATCTGTAGACAGAAAGTGGACTGTCTGCTCAGGGCTGCGGGGAGGGTCAGCTAGGGCAGGGCAGCCAGAGGCGACAAAATGGTCTTAAACTGACCACGCTGACGGTTGCGCACATCTGTGACTTAGGAGCGAATTGTGGGGTATGTGAATTGTCTCAATAAAGCTGCTAGACAGTCAGAGCTCAACTCTACCCTTCAGCACAATTAAATACCATTTGGGGAAGAGCACACCCTAGTTTCTAGCTTCAAACCAACTTAACTTATGGGCAGCGAGAATTAAGCAAGCATGTGTTCTCTAGATCTATAAAGAAAGAGGTGGAACAGAACAGCCCCCACACTGATCAGCTACACTAAGTTTCTCTCTAACTCCTGCAGTTTTACAGTGTTTGTGCCGACAGACAACAAAGTCCACTTGCCCAAGCTAGGAGACAGGGGCCTTTCTGAGGGCAATGCACAAAAGCCGAGGCCGCCTCGCCTGCGGACAAATGTGGAACCACGAGACTGCGTGAAGGGGGCATGAGTGCCTACAGTGAGGCCTTCAGGCTGAGCTGCTGTTTTCACTGAAGCAGAACAGAAGCACTTCAAAAATAACTAAATATCAAATGCTTCCCTAGGTTAAAAAGGTCTCCAATGTATAAACCTTCCATCTAAACCAGGAGATTCGATGCAATCACACAGAAGCCAGTGTTTTCCAAAGCAGTGTCAGCCATCAAGCTTGCAAGGTCACAGACACGACTGCTGAGGGCTTAGGTAAAAAGTCCAAGTAAGCAGACAGGACGGGGGTAAGATGGCTCCAAACACAAAATGACGCAAAACATGTGAGTCCCTGAGGACTGAAAACACTGCTGCAGAGAGAATTTAAAAAACCACTTTCACAGGTAGGGTGTCAGCCCCATCTAGACTTGACTGTGTTCATTCAATGTGCATTTACGCAGCAAGGCACTGTTCCGGGTCAAACGAAGCCCTGCCTCCTGGAACCTGTCTTCTGGGCAGAGGGAGTGCAGGCCAGCTCTGGGCTGGAGAGTCAGAGCTGGGATCTCACAGCCTGTGGCACAATCCCACACCGCCCCGCAGAGCCAAGAGCAGAAACCACTGCACCACGGTATCTGACTTCCAGTATAAAGGGTAGGGGGAGGGGAGACAAAGGTCAGCAGGCAAGCATCAAGCAGTCTTGACCTTGGGCTCTTTGGAGCTGTGGCCATGGGAGACCCTGGCAGAAAAGGGCAGGGCACACCAGCCTTCTTGGCCGGCCCCTTCCTGAGGGCTACGCGGAAGCGCTTCCTGGAGAAGGTGCTTGCTTGCTGGGGCAGGCCCCGCAAAGCATGTCACCGGGCAAACCAGACCAGCCGGCTGACATGCAGCTGCCCAGAGACAGTCTTCTTTCCAGAGACTGCATTCCTGACCTACGCCAACAGCTGTTGTGGCAGACTGCAAAGCTGCAGGTTCCCTGGCTCTCCCCATCCAGGTAGTTCTTCTACCTCTCTGCCCCTCGAATCTGGGCTGGCCTGGCTGCTTGCTTTGATCAATAAAACCTGGTGGGAGTGCAGGAATTCAAGCCTTGACCCCAACCGATCTCAGAGCTTCCACTCCTCAGAACATTTCTGTCAGTGTATTATAAACAAGGCCCAGCCTGCTCGTCAGCGGGTGAGGTTCTGGACGGAGAGGGGTCCCAGGTGGGCCCCAGACATGCAAGGAAGGCCATCTGAGACCACCTAGCCCCTCTAAGCCCTCCCAGACCAGAACCTCCAATCCAGAATTCAGACATGCAGGAAACACGAGATATTTGTTGTGTAAGTACTAAGTCTTGGAATGGTTCGTTACTTCACAGAATCCACTGAGTTGTGGGGACAGGGAGTTTGGAGACAGAATATAGCTAACATATACAGGATACTGACGGTTAACTCCTTCTGAGGCACACATCATCCTCATAAGGTGCCCGCCCAACTCAGGGCAGGCACCAGTCTTCTGACGCCTCGATCTCTGGTGATGCTGCCAGGCACATCGAAATACCAGATGAGGGTTAAATGTGGTTAATAGGAACCGTGGTCTCAACTTATTAAAACCTTGACAAGTTCTAGATAGTTTGAAATCTTTAGAAAACATTGTCTCTGATTCCCTGAAGTATAAAATGACCCAGGTACCTGGTAAAAGTGTCTTTCTCAGAGAATGATCACATCTTATTTATGATTCAGCAGTACACAGGTGCTTTCTTCCACTTTGGTCCTAGTTTCAGTAGCTAAGGACCATTAAGCAGGACAAAATATTGTATGTTCTAAAAGTAAATTCTATATAGGGCAATTCTTTTCTTTTTCCTTCCTTCTTTCCTTTCTTTAAAAAATTTTGAACCTGCTGTGAGCTTGGATTACAGCAAATGTGTTTATTGTAGGGTGGCTACGTGGTGGAAAGTATCCCAAACATTTGGTTGGAAGAGATTTGGGAGTCCCAACTACATTTCCAGACCTTTAGCCTATTTTCTACAGGTGATCCATCAGAGAGCCAAGGATATGCTGTCAAATAATCGGCAGCTGGGAGCACTGCCAGGTGCCAAGGTGGCCAATTCCAGGTCCTCCCTACACAGGCTGCCTCTTGCAACACTGAAGTGATTGGGTTGCCGGGCACACAGGCCTGACCAGTTTCAATCCCTGTGCCCTAATGAAATGATATCTGATTTCCTCTTCAAGTAACACTTTAAAAGAAGCATTTGGGGGTCCCTTGAGTTCAGCTGGTCTGAATCTAGCACTAGAAACACACGAGCAAGAGGTGCTGGCGTGTAGGAGGCTGGCCGCACACTCCCTGCAGCCTGAAGGGGGTCTCTGCTGCCCTCTTCTCGGCCTGGCTCACAGCCTAGTGACCTATCATCTATGGAGCAACTGGACTGAAATCCCCAAGCACAGATAAAATTCCTGCTTAAGTCTAAATTCATTCTCTTGTCCTTACTTTTGTGACACCAAGAACAAGACAAGCTTTTAAAGATAATTGTTTTAAACCAATATGCAAACATTAGAAAAAAGAAAATACGCTTATGCATTACATGAAGATAATTTTTAAAAAGAATATTTTTCTAATGCCATTTAGAAAATCAGAAAAAATATTTTCTAGAGTATTACATGGGTCTAAACAGTGTTAAATATAAATAACTAAATATATATACATATATACACAAACATACCTATGCTATATTCAATTCTTCTGGCCAACATTATCGGTGCAATCTATCATTAGAGAATGTTCACAATAAAAATACTGTCCCTGACCCAGAGTGACAAGCTGTGTGCTAACAGGTGTGACGCCTCTGCATGGTGAGTACTCAGTCCTCACTCCAGCAGCCCTGAGAAGGGGGGACTACGGGAGCCTCCCAAGTCAGGCGAGGAAGGCGACACACAGTGGGGCCAAGTGCCATTCCCGCATCCAGGTGGCCAGTGGCCAGCAAGGAAGATCTGGACAGAAGCAATCAGCTTCCAGTGTGCCCTCTGCGTCACTTGGCCTGCCTTCGCAGGCTGGGAACCAAGTTGATGTTGTATCAGCACTTTGAAGAAAAACAGGGAATGCTCTCCAAACAGAGAAACTCAGACTGCATCCAAGGACTTGACTGCACTACCACAGCCACGCTTGGTTAGCCTGACACTGAGGCCGTCCACCCAGTGAAATGGAGTTTGTGCTCCATACCTGACTTACAGAGAGCACGGAAGTGTGCCTCCCGGGCGTCGCTTCTTACCTCGACGGCAAAGAGCTCCATGGTGTTGTCCAGCAGCTTCACTCGGACGTGCAGGTGCTTGTCGAGCGCATGGGCTGTGTGCAACGCCGCGGATGCTGGGGTGAGCGTGGGCTCAAGCGTGCTCACACCTGGGGGGCTTGGGGTGCCCAGGCACGGCCCTGGGGCCTGCAGAACCCGATACGTCCCTGCTGTCTCCATCTCCACCAGCTGGGCGCCTCTGCAACAGAGCACAGAACAGTCGGCGCGGGTCAGGAGTCAGACACCATCAGGTACACAGGCCCTCCGCACTTCGCTCTCTGCGACTTCCCATCTTAAATTACACCGAATTAAGAGTTGACATTATTTTCGATTCATACATGGATGTGTGGAGTGCCAAATCATAACGAGTGCCACCGAATGACAGCGTCTCCTGGGTGCCTCTGTGAGCCAGCAGGGCACCCACTCAGGTGACCCACCAAATCGGGCACACGCTGCAGGGCCCCGCCCCTGCTACCCAGAGACCCGGCACACATGCCGGCCACCACTGCACCCCGGCCATCAGGTTCTCAGCCGTGCCGAGGGGGAGATGCAGAGAAAAGTGGTGAGGACTAGGCTCTGCGCTCTGGTTCTACCAGTGGTCAGGGCAGGAGCTCCAACCTCAGCCCCAAAGGCAGCATGCGAGACCCACACACCTGGTGTTGGGAGGCACCATCTCACCTGCCCTCACAGTAACCTTGTGACCACATCATGAGGACAACAGGGAGGTGCTCAGGGAGACACACTCTCCCTTTCAATACCCCCTGTGAGCAGAGAGTCTGGCTTGGGTGTTAAGCTATTAGCTTGAAAGGGCCTCATCGCATCCTTCTTAACAAAGAAGAGGTGCACCTGCCAGAACAGTTACACAGGCCTGCTATTAATTTTGTCTATTGATACACTTACCTTCTACTCCTGACAGATTTCCTTCTTAAGTATATGTATTTATGCTTGAAAGGCAGTCCGAAGGGAAACACAGTATGGCAAAAAGAGTGTCAGAATGTCTCTCCAGGAAGGAATGCACAGCTGCAGTTTCTCCAAAAAAATCTTCTATTTCTTTGCAAGTTTTTAGAGAATTAATCTCACTAAATTCCTAGTCACCCTTGCTGCCGGTTTAACTGCTCCAGGTCCCCAGGCCCTTTCCGCCTTTTCATGCTTATTTTGTTATCAAGACAAACCATTTTATGAACTTTTCATCTCTTGAATTAAGTTTCAAAAGCTTCTCAGGAACCCCACCAACACTTGCCACACTCAAGCCCTACACAGCAAGACTGCTTGCACGCATACAGAAGCACAAGAGATGAGACGCCACGGCCCCTGGCAAGAGTGGCACTAGCAGAATGGTGAGTTGTGTCTGCCTGCAGACACACTACCATCCAAACAGTTGCGAACGAGTGGCTGGCTGCCCTCGGGCGGGCATGGTGTGGCTCAGAGGTCACCGGTTACCTACAGAATCCTCGCTCCAGGCTGTGCCCTGAGAACAGGAACTAGATTCTCACTCCTCATGTTGGCTAAGTTCACGTCTCTAGCAAGGAAGACCATGAACCGCAGTAAGATGCAATGCTCCGCTCAGGACACAGGCCATGCCACACACGGACTGCACTCTGGGAATCACGATCTTCATGCCACTAATAGCAAACATGAGACCCATAAGTATGAGCATTTTCATTTGAACTTCACTAACTCGAGTAGTTAACACCAATGGGAGGGTCTGCAGCATGAAAAGGTGAAAGCACGCACTGGGCAGCTCACAAGCATGCCTGACGGTGTGCCTTCAGGAGCAGGTTTCTGAAACAAGCCTGGGAATGCTTCGCTTCAACAGCAAGGCGGTCCTCTCTCCCTTCTAAGTAAAGCTAAGTTCTGAAAACACATACTATCAAAATACAGGCTTAGAGTCACTTCCATTATTTATTCTATTGTAAATTCTTATTTATATTTCTTAATAATTTTAAATGGAAAAATTCTTTAGGTTTTCTTTTCTACTCATTATAAGGAAGTCATGTGCAAACATACTTCTAAAAAAAAGGACAGGACTCACTTAAGGTGTCCAGAGGGCACATCTGGGAGGGAAAACTCTAAGAACCACGTCCAAGGAGCTTATGACAGGAAAAGCCAGGGCAGTGATCCCTTTCGATGGGAGGGGGGGCTGTCACAGGTGCTGCAGGGAAGCGTGTCAGCAGTTCCTCTGCTTGACTGGGACAGTCCCCACTTTATAATTCATTAAGCCATGCATCTGACTCATGAGGTTTTTCTACATATGTGTTTACTTTATAATAAAAATATATTCAAGAATAGGATACTTTTAAATATTTTTTCATCTGTCATAAGAATGAAAGACAAATTAGACAGATGAAAAAAACTTGAAAAACACCTTCCCTGGCACAGCAAGGCAGACTAAGCCGTGGTTCAGAGGTGACCTCTCAGGGCCACACACCTTGGGAGCAAAAAGCTTACACCCAACTTCTCTTAGTCTAGTCCAAAGGAAGACATGGACAGGCCCTGGCTGAGACTCAGGGCCACAAGCTGCTCTCACACCAGGGGTTCATTTGAGGAAGACAGACTCACTTAAGAGGAAGTGACCCTGTGGGATGCCCTGCTGATGTACCAAAGAATACTATTGCCATTACAGGCAACGGGGCATGAACCACCCATTTAACAATCACTGGGCCTTCGGCTTAAGGCGGCCTAGAAAGGAAGGAGCTTTAAGAGAGCAGATATGTCACCCCATGCTGTGAACGTCAGTCAACCTTGGTCTCAGCCTGCCATCTATTTTAGGGCAAGCAGCATAATTGGACCCCTCCTGTGGGAATGTTCACCCAGCAGTCACTCCCTCCAGCCTGACAATGGGAAAGCTGTACATATTCAACATGTTTCAGTAAATGATGACCAGAGACTGCTGCTTTGCTTTGTATTCTTGCATTTAAAATGCAGGAATATGCAAGCTAGGTCTCGCTGCCTCCCCTTCTGCTGCCAGCTGGAGAGGGAGCTCTGCTTACTTTGAGGGCCCCTGTGATTAGATGGGGCCTACCTGAATAATCCGGGACAGCCTCACTATTTTAAGATGAGCTGATCAGTGCCCTTAATTACATCTGCCACACGATACAACGTATTCCCAAAAGTAACACATGGGGGTGAAGGTCATGGGTGCCAAATTCTCTACCCTGAAGTGTCGTCAGCAAATTCCACTGGCATCGTCTTGGATTTAGTCCGGCTCCTCTCTTGTGAGGATGTTTCCCTGGTTCTGCCCGTGTGGTGCCGTCCTGGGGTGTGTCCTGGCATTTCTGTATTGTGTTGTTCTGAGGCCATGCGTCCTGGCAGTCCTGTGGGTTCGTTTAAGCCTCAGGCTGTGGTCTCAGTGTCTGCTGACCCCCCAGGGGACCTCTCTGTCCTCCCTGTGCACTCGGGGCCAGCCTGCTCTCTAGGCAGTGGGTGGCTTACCCCCAGAATCTCTGGCCAGTCACTCAGAGACAGGCAGCCTGAGTGCATACGCAATTTCAAGGGCCACTTTCCCAAGCCCCTCCCTCTCTGCAACCTCCCCGGTGTACTTCCCAGTTGCCCGGGGCTCCCCTCTGCAGTGCTCCAGCCAGGAACCTGGGGTTTCAGTTGCCCTGGTCCGCTGAGCACTTCCTGTGACTACATCCCTGGCTGGGACCAGACGGTAGGAGGGAAGAGAACACAGGTCCCAGGTTTTGGTGTCTGGAGGCTCCTGCTGCCACAGGCCTGGCTGGGGCTGGGCTTGGGGCATGGTGACCTTCCTGCTCTCCTGGGGCTGGTATCAGGCTGGGGTGCCACAGGACACAGGGATCCACAACGCAGTAGCACTTCAGATTCTGGCCTCTGTCCCCAGTCCGCCTGTTGTCATCTGTCAGCGTCCTGCACTGTCCAGGCTTCGCAGCCACAGGCCGTGGCAGAGACAGCGTGGCATGAGCTCACTCACTCTTCCTGGACCCAGAACTGGATGTCCACACATTTTAAAACATGTTTCCAGCAGTTGTCTTTGGGAAACGGAGGAGGGTTGATTTGTAGCTCCTTCTTCCCAGCATTCTGCATTTTTTAAATCACCCACAGCGGCGAGAGGACACTGCTTTGTAAGCCAGATGGCCTTTCTGCAGGCAACTGCCTGAGGACGCCTGCTTTAGGGACTGAGCTGGCGGGCGACCCTCAGCATCCACAGGCCCACCATCTGAGAGAAACTGCTCTCTCTCCTCTAGGAGTTATGCTTTTCTTTCTAAAACTGTTCAGGTAAGGTGCAAACACTTCAAACGCTCTGTGTGATCGATTTCTTGCTCAGATATTGAGACCTGTTCCCTCAATGTTCATCTTACTAACTATAACCAAAGCAACGGGGACCTTAAGCACAGAGACGAGAGAGTTAACACAGCCTAATAAACGGTTTGCAGAATACCTGTGCCGCTCCCTCCCCACACACCACCAGCTGCTGGAAGAGCACCCTCACCCCAAGCGCCTCTGCTGCATCATTGGCGTCAAACACGGGCCAGAAACTGCTTGGGCAACACCAGCACGACTCTCGAGCTGCCTGCCTCTGGCTCCTGGGCCCCTCTCTTGCACTGGCACCCCCCCCCCAGGGTCCTGGGAAAGGCCCTGAGCAAAGTGTGCCTATGGTCATAGCCTTTTGCAAAATTTACAAAAAGTACTCTAATGGTCATCTAAGGCTGCTGCCGCTCCAGTTTTACCTCTGTCCTTCTTCCCCTTTTTGTCAGGTAGCTTAGGAGGGGTCGTCAACCTTTGTGGGGTCCAGCTAAGGACACAATGAGTCAGAGACCCACTTAGTCCGGGTCTAGAGGACACACTCAGGTTGTCTGTGGCCATGCAGAGCATGCTTTGGTTACTACTGGCCGGACAGCGCAGCGCAGAGAGGGCTTCTCGGAGTACTGGCATCACCACTGCCTGCTCACCAGGGGTTTAGGACACCAAGGTGCTAACTCCCGAGTGCACAGGGAGGACAGAGAGGTCCCCTGGGGGGTCAGCAGACACTGAGACCACAGCCTGAGGCTTAAACGAACCCACAGGACTGCCAGGACGCATGGCCTCAGAACAACACAATACAGGAGTCCTGCAGCAAGGGGTATGGGTCCAGTGGCACCTGGCACCAGAAGTGTGAGGGCGGTGGGAAGGAAACAAGGTGTGAAATACAGGGAGCCAGGTGCCTGAGGGCGACCTGTCATCAGCATGTTCCCCTGGCAGTGGGGCTGTCCCATGCCTGGTCAAGGCTGCAGCTCTTGCCTATTAGAAAAATGTCAGTAACAAAGCAGCATAATTTTAACTGTGCCAATGGCTTTTTTTTGAAGAACGTTATGTTTCTAGGGTCCTCCCTTCACCAAGTCCCCCCCACAAACCCCATTACAGTCACTGTCCATTAGTGTAGTAAGATGCTGTAGAATCACTATTTGTCTTCTCTGTGTTGCACAGCCCTCCCCGTGCCCCACTCACCCAACACTATACATGCTAATCGTAATACATTCCATTCAAAAAAGTTTTTTTTAAAAAGCAATTGGCCAAACAAAAAGCAAATGATCCAATTAAAAAATGGGCAGAGGAGCTGAACAGACAGTTCTCCAAAGAAGAAATTCAGATGGCCAACAGGCACAAGAAAAGATGCTCCACATCGGTAGCCATCAGAGAAATGTAAATTAAAACCACAGTGAGATATCACCTCACACCAGTAAGGATGCCTACCATCCAAAAGACAACAAGAAATGTTGGTTCCCTCCCATCCTCCCCAGTCCCTTTCCCTTTGGTAACAGTGTGTCCATTCTTGGGTTCTGTGATTCTGCTGCTGTTTTGTTCCTTCAGTTTTTCTTTGTTCTTATACTCCACATGAGTGAAATCATTTGGTATTTGTCTTTCTCCTTCCTTGGCTTATTTCACTGGGCATAATACCCTCTTCTAGCTCCATCCATGTTGTTGCAAATGGTAGGATTTGTTTCTGTCTTATGGCTGAATAGTATTCCATTGTGTATATGTACCACATCTTCTTTATCCATTCATCTACTGATGGACACTTAGGTTGCTTCCATTTCTTGGCTATTGTAAATAGTGCTGTGATAAACATAGGGGTGCATCTGTCTTTTTCAAACTAGGCTCCTGCATTCTTAGGGTAAATTCCTAGAAGTGGAATTCCTGGGTCAAATGGTAAGTCTATTTTGAGCATTCTGAGGAACCTCCATACTGCTGTCCACAATGGTTGAACTAGCTTACATTCCCACCAGCAGTGTAAGAGGGTTCCCCTTTCTCCACAACCTCACCAACATTTCTTGTTGTCTTTTGGATGGTAGGCATCCTTACTGGTGTGAGGTGATATCTCACTGTGGTTTTAATTTACATTTCTCTGATGGCTACCGATGTGGAGCATCTTTTCTTGTGCCTGTTGGCCATCTGAATTTCTTCTTTGGAGAACTGTCTGTTCAGCTCCTCTGCCCATTTTTTAATTGGATCATTTGCTTTTTGTTTGGCCAACTGCTTTTTAAAAAAAACTTTTTTGAATGGAATTGGGCAACACAGAATTTATCACAACTCCTGCTTTCATGAGACACAAACCTGTAGCTGTACTAGAAACAGCAGCAAGTATGTCTACAGGTGAAACCATGTTTTATGCATCCTGCCAATAGGACTTCTGAGCAACTATGCTAGAGGGATCACTGAAGTGTTCTATTTTCTGGCTTATGAAGGGACAATTTAAAAGCACACAGCCAAAGAAAGAGTATTACAGAGATGTGCCAGGTAATTAACACAGGTGCTATTTTTCTGGACCTAGTGACATTTGTATTTTTGGTCAGCTTTTTCAAATCTATAACTTATTTTCCTCATTCTACATAAATATTCACTTTCCAAGTTAATTTTTTATGTGAAACATTATATCTTTTTTTCTTGCAGAGGCCCATTCCCCTAGATTTTATAAGCTTCAGGCCCCATAAAATTGGCATCCACCCTCGCCCCACATGTTTGGTTGATTCCTTCAGACATTTATTGAGCACCTACTCCTTACTGAGCATGTCTGAACATGTAAGGATATGGCTTTAAGAGAGAGAAAATCCCTCCCTGTTATGGTAGAAAAAATGGGGAGATGGCCTGTGAAACAGTGGTAGGTGCCACGGAGGAGGTGAAGTGATGACAGCAAACAAGAAGTCGTTGGGTGGTGAGGGAAGGGGAGGTCTGAGGAAGGTCCTGACACAACGGCCACAGCGGTCCATGCCATGGCCACTGCCAGGCACTATGAAGAGGTGGCAGTGCCAGTGCACCCAGGTTTGGATCAAACCATTGGTGCACCTCATGGATCAAACAGATGAAGGCACTCAGCTCGGGAAGGTTAGTGACTAGCTGGTGGTGCTCAGCTCTGCAAATGACCTCTACCCGACCCTGATTCCAAGATGTGCTGTCTCCTCTCTGGTTTAAGAGACTCCACGTGCCAAGTACAAAGATCTAGAGGCAGAGGCAAGTATGTAAGTGGGCAGAACTGCCTGCCGCTGCAGAAACAGGAAGGTGGCCAGAGAGGCTTCTCATCTCAGGCGAAGGCCTCTCCAGACCTTGCAGAGGACAAGAGTGGTGTGTGCATAGGCCCGAGTCTGCTGGGCTGAAATGAATGGCTGAGTATGGCAGGGTCTAGCTGGTCTATAAGCATCATGGGGGCTGACCTAAAGGTCTGGATGTATCTCCTGTTCTGCAGCCAGGACAGATGGGATGGAGGAGGATTGTCCATTGCATTCTATATTATAGTATCTTTTTGCTTCTGAATTTTAAAATGGCTATAAACTAAAGCACCAGTTTAGTGGGAAAACAATCCCATGACTTTAAATTAAAACTACTTATGTCACTCTAACATCCCTTCTGATCTGTGTCCAAATCCATACATATTTTAATAGCAGTATAACTGCTATGTTCAAACTGTTTTGCCTTTTTGGTTAAGGCATGTTTTTGAACATATTTCTGTGGATCAAAATGGTTCAAATTGTTTGGATAGGACAGGAATGGGATTCACAGAGAAAGTTTACCAGCTGTGGAGTGTCCTGCTATAGTGACTGACACACAGGTTTTGCATAATGGAGTTTGTTTTCAAAACTGGGATTTGAAAATTAAAATCTTTATCGTATCTGCTAGTTGCTGTCCAAAAATATGATACCAATTTACAGGATCAACCCCAGGGAAACCATTCCTCAGAAACCCACCAAACACTGGTCTTAATCAATGTAAGCTTTGTGGAACCCTCATCTTTTGGACTATTTCCAAGGTATAACTCAGAGTCAACAGACACACTACACATGTGGGCCTCAGAGAACACCACTGAAGTGACCTTGGCTTGACACCCAATGTTATGGTGTAGCTTTCCTGAATATCTGACACTACGCTGTGTGCAGGAAGCTAGAGACCCACTGGGCAAAAGAGACAAGCTGCTAAGAAAATGAAGGAGAAACCGAGCAAGCCAGGAAGAATCTGCTGCTGCAGGGCAGGGAGGAGGTGCTGATGTGGCCAGAAGCAGGAGTGTTTGGAAAGAGGGAGTGGAGCCTGCCTGCAACTGCCGCTGCAATCTTTGTCAATACAGCTCTTACCCTTCCCTGCAAGCAGGAGAGCTCTCCTGAAATCCTGCTCACTTCTTTCTCCACTGTCTGCTAATATCACGCTTCCACGTAGTAAGAGAGTGGCTGACATGCATTAGGCACTGTGTGCCAGGCATCTCACCAACGGCTCATCTACAGACGCTTAGTCCTCGCAGCCACCTTAGGAAGTAGGTAACTGTTAACCCTCTTTTATTGATAAGGAGCGGGAGGCAGAAATAAATGAACATGTCATATAAACGTCCTCTTTGGGGAAGGAGTTAGTACAGAAGGAACCTGGAAGTCTCTGAGATGTTCCCGCATATACATGAGCCAGCAAACCCCTGCAGTTCAGGAAACTGCGCGTCAGCATGTGGTTCAAAAAGCTCAGTGTGAAATACGTAAGGCCCTGCCCCAGGGCTGGGCAGACACCAGCCACTCCACTTCCCCTCCTTAAGGCAGGGCCGTGCAGCCTGGCCACCTCTCCTAGGCCGAATGAGAACTACGTAAGATAACGGGCGCGAAGAGCTTCTCAACACACCCCACACCTCTGTTCTGCAGAAACAAAAGCTTCAAAAAATGGCAGGGCCAGAAAATTAAAGTCGTATTTGGCCTACGTGCAAAGGTTACTCTACGGCCGCCACGTCTTCCCCCTCTCTCCGCAGGGAGGACACCCAGGTCCTCTGGGGCGATGCGTTCTACACACAGCGCGCGCTAACCCGGGCAGGCAGCCCTGGGTCAAACCTCTCCCCTTTCCTCTACGCCGCATACTGACGCTTTCCTGCAGCGCAGCCCGCTCTGATTTGTTTTTCACGGCCATTACCAACGAGCCCAGGGCGGGCCCTCGGGAGGTGCCTGCGCGGGGCGCGGGGCGTTTCCGGCCGCAGCCTGCCTTCAGGAGGCTCCGCGGCTTCGGGGACGCGTCCCCGCAGACGTAAACGCACGAGCCCCTAAGGCCGGACTCCCACCTCTAACGTTCAGCGGAGGGAACGAAAGGTCAACACGAGTTTTCACAGGGCACTCTGAGCGGTCCTGCACGCGGAGCCCTCCCGGCCCAGCCACGGACCCCACGCTGGCCCCCGCCTCGGGCCTTCACGCAGACCCGCCCGGGCCGCGGCCTCCGGCGGGAGGCCCGCGAACAGCGAACCCCCTCGCTCGGACCCACAACGCCGGCAAGCCTTCCGAGCCCGGGCGCGGACTCCCCCTGCGGACCGCCGCGCAGAGGCGCCAGGCCCTCTCGCGTCCCCGCGTCCTCACCAACCTCGGGGTCCGCGTCGCCGCCCGCCGCGGCCTTCGCGTCCACGCCGGCTCCGCCTGCTCCCGGCTGCCCGCGGGCCGCGGCGCCCCGCCCCTCCGGCCCTGCCTAACCGGCCACGCAGGCCCCGCCCGCTCAGGCCCCGCCCCGACAGCCCGCCCACTCTCGGATGCCCACCCACCCCGCGGACGAGCCGCCGATTGGCTTGTGGACGCCGTTGGGGCGGGGCCTCCGCGGCAGGAGGTGAGTGCAAATCAGTAGGTTGCCGCCCCCGCCGGGCCGCGCTCTGCTTGGGACGGGGCCTCGACTCCCCGGGCCCGCTTCGTCCGGCCCAGGCCGTGGGCTTTCTTCCTAACCCACAGCCATTTCCCTCCTCCTGGGCTGCCGGGACCGCGGCCGAAGGGCACTGACGGCCACAGGAGGGTGTGCTGCAGCCGACGAGCCCGAGGACAGGGGCACCGCAGCTCTCTCCGCCTTCGCGGTCCTCCTCCTCTATAGCCTCATGACACCCACCCGGGGCCGGAAACGCGACACAGCCGGGGCCTCCCGGGCTCGACTCACAGGGGCACAAGCCTCTTCTCTTTCCAGGTGAGTGAACTCCTCTGGATCCCTCAAGACCCCACCCAAATTACTCTACGATCTTGGTCCAGGCGCGCCCCCGCGCGTCCGTCGAGGGTACAAACCAGGATTGACTCGTTTCCCTCCGAGGGGCCTTTCCGGTGTTCCGGTCCGCTGAGCCGACCTTCAGGCTTCCCTACAGCCCAGGTAGGGGGTGCTGCCGCTCCCCTCCCTGCCAGCCTGCCTCAGGGTCGCGGGCTCTGCCGCCGCTACACTGTGAGGGGGCTTCTCCTCTAAAGCGCTCCTTGCCCGCAGGCGTGAGCGGGATTACCCCTCACCCGGAGCCCCGCGGAGGGAGCGCAGGGCAGCGCGTGGGGGGGACTGGAGAGAACGGACTAAACGGTCGGCAGCTCAGGAAGCGCTGATGCCAGGAAGGGGCTCAGATCCTGGGACCCTGGGCGGTGCTGGAATGCAGGGGGCCGCAGGACGGGCAACGGCAGGAGGGCCTGCAGAGCCGCCAGCACGACGCTCTCGATCCAGCTTTTCAACATTCCCGTTTGATGGGTTGTGGGTTTTCCCTACCCCTACCTTCTTAGAAATACCTAGCATGGAAATTATTTTATATATTCATTATATTTCTATGTATTTAGAAGCTGTTTCTGAAGGAAATGAGATCTTTTCCCACTCCACTTTCTAATTAGTGAGTGGACATTACTGAACTCTTACTAGTGCTAATTTTTATCAGACGGTGTTTCACCTTAAGTAGATGATCAGATCACCAGTAATTCCTCTCCAGTCTGTGGGGCCTTTTTTGGGGCTAGCTCAGTACAAGGTGGCTGGGTCCTGATGGTACTGGTGCAAGTAATTCTTGGTTTTATGACATCCACATCTGCAGGGCTTTGAACCTTTCCTAGAAGACCTCCAGCCCTTTCATGAAGAACCAATAATGAGAACTAAGCATTTAATACCTAAACAATAGTGCTTTATTTATAAAAGGTTAGTTTCAATGGATACAAAATTGCTGTGTAGAAGTTGCCAAAATATATTTCTACAAGTAAAGAGTATCTCTTAGTAAAAAGAGCAACTGTCTATTGGCAAAAGCATTTATTTAGATTTGGGCAGCAAAACAAAAGGGGATTTAAAAGTGTGACAGTGTAGCCCCAACCCCCAAACCATTATTAGGTGGCAGTAGCCCTAAGTAGCAGTTTTACTCAAACATGCACAAGGTTTAGCGTTGACCACTTACAATCCCCAGCCCTCTTTAAACAGCTTTTAACTAGCATCATTAATAAGTGTCAAAATAACCCAAATAACTGGCATGGAGGTGCTCTAAAGTCACAGAACACTTTTTCTTGGTGAAAACTGCCTAATGTGCCTAAACCTACAGCTTTTGACCATTCACAATTATGCAACAGTGAAGTGGCCAAGATAGGAAGAACACCAGATTTTTCTGTAGCACATCTCTGTAACATAGTTTGGACCAAAACAAAGACCTCTCTCCTCATTCTCTGGTTTTCTTCACCTCCCCCTTCCTGTTCTAGCAAAATGAACACACTGAGCCAGCACCTGTCCTCCAGGTCTCCCCTTCAGATCTGTCACTTTCTGGGGGCCAATTTCCCAGAACCAGTAGAAATGCTGAGAAAAGCCTCCCCTGGGGGGTCAGTGCCCCACCAGAGTACACAGAGGCAGGTCAGGAGAAAAGGGAAGGGCTGACCAGATGCGGTGTGTGCTGGTGGCGCCTGTCAGCCAGCCAGCGTGAAGACTTGAAATGTCTTTGTCATGGAGAAATTTGTACTACACACGCACATGGAAAGGGATCACTGCTGCTTGCCTCCCCCCTTCAGAAAATCATCCAAAAAGTAAACAGCTGAAGGAGAAAAATCTGGTCAGCAATTCAGGTCATGGGGCCAAGGCCCCAGGGCCTCTGACAAGGTCTGGGTCCTGAGGCCCACGCACCAAAGAGCTCTCATTTCCCTAGTGGGGTAGATCTATATTCGCAGTTACAGAGGATATATTAAAGTGCAGTATAAAAAATATAAAAAGGTTGACTTCTGATCAGACTGTTAATTTAAGAAGTTTTTTTTAAATCTAGTTGAGTAAAATAGTTTGACTCTCATGGTATAGCTAAGAATCTTAGTTGCAACACGAAAACTAGAGCCTACAGAGACCGACTTTTCCAGAGCAGAACATAGTATGCAGTGGAGAACCGTACATAGTGGCTTGTGGCACATTCTCTACATAATGGCTTAAAAAATGACCTAACACAGAATCCAGGTACTTATTAAAAATTCACCTCTAAAAGCCTGTTTTTAAAAGCTATTTAAATATAACATCTCATTAGGTGATCCTATTGTTTCATTTAGTAAAAGATAAACGTGCAGATTAACTGACGGTATTGAATCAAAGCAGCAAAACTGGTTTTAGGTGTTGTGTTCAAACAGAAGGAAGTTCATCTCCCCCAGTGGGAATGTAACTGAATGGCCTTGCCCCAGGTCAGATCACCTCTCTACAACACTAGGTCCATGTCTTTGCCACTCTAGGCATATCTGTATGTTCTAGAAATAAATCAGAAATGCTCCTCAGCGATCAGTCAGGCCAGCCAAATCAAAGCAGTTCAATATTAACCACACAGACTGACCGACCCTGGATGTCAGCTCTAAATCAGTGGTTGGTTAAGGTAGAAGAAATGAAAACGGGAAGTTCACCTCACAAAATATAAAGTGTAATATAGCATGAATACAGATGTGGAGAGTACCTCATACAAAACACGTCCAAAGTTTAAAAAAAGTTAAATTCTCAGGCACAGGTACTATAAAATGTGGACACACCCCTCCAAGGGTCTCTTGAAAACACGCAGCTGTATTAGTCGCAGGGTGTGTTCTCTTCCTCTTAAGTGTTTTCTGTTAAAACAAAGTGCAACTGTGTAAATGGGAGTGGCGCAGCCTGGCTGCTCCCGCCACCTGCATTACGTTGTACTAACAAAAGGCATGAACGCTTACATCAGCTCTTAGGACCACAGAGTTAATATGTCAAGACCTAACTTGAGACTCCTGGAAATCCGGAGTACTGAGAAGCAGAAAAGTACAGATACACTAATTGTACGTGCCGAGAAAATAGTAAAGGAAGCCTCGCTCATGTGTACCAGTACAGGGGGTGCTCTGGCACCCACCCGGCCTGCCAGGCTCAGACCCACCGGAAGGGACACCCAGGGGCTTTGTCTCCTTTCCTCCCAGGAGGGAAGGTTTCCGCTACCCTGGAACAGCCCGGCCACGACACGTGAGACTCGGAGGATTCTCCAATGGACTTTCTCCTTAGAACATGCCCCTCCTACTCCACTAAAAGGGCCTCCCCTCTGTTCCCCACTCACCCAGGGTTTTGCTATAGCTTGCCTGACCCAATTGCAATTCTCTGTTCTTGAATAAACTCCATTTTGTTGATAACATTTTTGAGGTTAATACCTAGTCTTATAATTCCATGCTTAAAGTCATAGAGAGAGGGGCAACTCCTGCCTCAACAAGCCCTTCCCTCAGGAATCCTGTTCTCCACGTCACCATCACGTCCCGTGTCAGCCGAGCCTGTCTGGAGGTCCTCTGGCTAGTTCCATGACCAAAGGCCGATCACCAGCCCCCAGCAGGGCACAGGTGTTCTGACCTATAGGGGTGAACTCACAACACATATATCCCCCAACTGTTCTAGGGCTTCCGGGTGAGGACAAAGGGGAAGCCACCAACTCTGACGGGGGTGGGGTACACAGATGGCCCCCACAGTAACTGCTTACACCGTGCTTGGTATTCATCTTTTTGTGCAAAGATATTTGGTAACTGCAACTTTCCCCAGTGAGCCACACAAGGACATTCCCCTCCAGGTCCTCCCTTGCCACCTGCTACCTGCTGGGGAAGACACGTTGCCTTCTGTCTCCTGTTCATGCCCTGTGTGTGCCCTGTTCTACAACTCTCTCTTGCCTCAACCTGGTGTTGGGGAGCTCTCCACCCACTGCCACAGGTCTGTTCTGGTCCAGTGATCTTCTCTTCTCCAGGAGCTAGTCGGCCTCCACCGCAGGCTAACTGCTTCCTCCTCTGGTTTTTCTCTGATTTTACCTCTTCCTCCTTATGTTGGGAGGCGACGGGAACACCCACCTGGACAGCTCTGAATGCCCAAAGGATGCAGTGAAGCAGACAATTGCCTTTTCCTCGTCCTAGGGCCCAGGTGCCCTCAGGTTCCCTTTGAGCAGGGAGGCCAGTGCACACCAGGCTAGTTGCCTGTGGGACTCTGACTGCCACTGGTGGGAGCTATGACAGGGGGTTGGGGATGGGGCAGTCAGTAGCCTCCACCAGTGGTAGTCAGTGAGTCCCACAGGCAACTAGCCTGGCGTACACTGGCCTCCCTGCTTGAAGGGAACAAACCTGGCATAATTTGCCCTTTCATGTCATCTTTACCTTTGCATAAGCTGTTTTAATAACTTTTAAAATTCTCTCTGAAGAGATGTTCTCAGCTTTAATAAAAATATGTAATTTTCTCTCTACTGTTTATAACATTTGTAAGCTCAGGGAATATGAAAAATCTTTACTAGATGGAGTGGAGGAGAAGCTTCCATTTTTTAGGAGCAACCCTTTCTCCTTTAAGGTGAGCAACGAACTAAAGACAAAGCTTCAAAATGCTAAACATTAGGAAGACTGAAGGAGGCACTTGCCACTACATTCAGGTCAGGCTGTTAGGTAACAGGTCCACGTCCTCTGTTTCTGATTACCTCACACATGGTGCCCATGAACACCACTGTCACTGTCCCCGCTCTGCATCTGCAGCTGCATCTGTGCCTGCATCCTCGCGATCATCTCCTGCATGCGGCGGAGCTAGAGACACAAGGTGTTTGGAGACACGTTACTGGTTCTCAGGGTCTTTAGGGGCCTTCTGTGAGTCCTAGAATTTCAACTCCTATGCTTTCCCAAAACATGATAGAGTCAATATACAAAGAACTCTTACAAATCAGTAAAAGCACCAATAACTCAACAGAAAATCAAGCAAATGATAAAAAAATGCAATTCAAATAATAGAAATTAACAATAAACAGAAGAAGTAAGTGAAGAGAGAAGACAACATGAGGTATTTTTTTTTAAGCCAAAAGGAAAAGAGACCAGTGTCACCCAGCGGGGAAGGTGCAGTAACAGGGGTGGGGCCGGTCCAGCTCTTCTGGAGGCAAGGAGGCCCTAGCTCTTCACATGGTGCGTGTTCGTTCTCTGTTATCCTTGTTACCTTTTTCATCATGTTTATACGTGTTCAGAAAGGCCTCCTCCAGGCAAGTATTAAAGAATATTTATCTAACTTTTCTTCAGCTAACTTTGTTCTTAACACTTAAATATTTGATTCATACTGAATTTATTTGGCTAAATAAGTTTATTATATTTGTTTCCAAAAGACTGGCCTGTTCTGAATCTGTCTGGATTGCACATATTCTAACAGATCTCAATGCCACCTCTATTTACCTCAGAGCATATTTCCACACTTCGGCCTCCACACGTGTCTTTAGTCAGCCTACCATATGCCTGTCCCAAGCGCTCTGGTGACCACTGTTGTGGGAATTCCATACCCATAACGCAAGCTGCTGCTCACTGGTCCATTCTCATAGAGCTATCTGGTGTTTCCCATGCTTAGATTTCAGAACAAGTATTAGAAGTACTTTATCAAGCTCTCCCCTAAGAAAGAGTTCAGCAAACACACAACTGTGCTGGAATTACATTAAATTTAGAGAGAACTGAGATTTTTGCGCTTTGCATCTTACCTAAAAAGTTATGTCTATTTAAACTTTGAAAATTGTTTTTGGTAGTTTTCTAGTTTCTTCACCCACATTAAGTCCTACACATTGTTTCTTGAATTTTTATTAATGGTTGTGAATAGCAGTTTCTTTCATTCTCGTTTCAAATTGGTTATTGTCTTTGTAAAGGAAAACTACTGACTTTTTTGAGGAACATTTTATAAAAATCAGCCATGTTACTAAATTCTCATTATTTCAGTTTTTTCACTAAATTATAACTGGAGATTGAGATAATTTATGTGAAGCAATATGTATATTATGTGTAGATGTATACAAAATAAAAATTGTATGTAACACATTCCTTCCCCCCAAAATTAAGAAAGTTGTAAGTTAACCACAAGTAATATTTTTGGATATAAACTGAAAGCTTCACACTTACAAAGTACTTTTCCACTTACCTCAGCTTCTTTTTCTAGCAAGATCTGGTCTTTATTCATGTCCTCATTTTCCACTTTTCTACAAGTTCAAAGGAGTTCCAATTATACTATTGTGACAAATATAGTTAGTTATTTCTGACAATGGATACCCAAAGCAAAATTTCACTTTACATTTCTGAGAAACATTATTTAACATTACATATATTTGTCATTTTTCTGATTAATGACATGAATGAATAAGAAAAAGAATGATGAAAAAGAACATGAAATGGAAAATTCAAGAGATTTTTCTTACTCTAAGTTGGGGTAATGACACATTCATCTTTACTCAAAAAACTAGCTATTTTAAAATAAGAGAATGGTCTTTTTAAGATAGTTGTTCTTGATGAACAGACTACAACCATTACAGCAAAAAGGAACAGGACATGTGCAACCCCGAAGAGAGGGCCGAGCAGAAGGCCCTCTGAGCACACGATCACACAGCTCCCTGTGTGCCCACAGTCTCAGGTTCAGCTGGGTCCCTTCCTCAGAGTGGGATTTTCTTGCTGCCTCTGAAACCTTTCTTAATGTGTGGTCCCCAGTTAATAAGATAATAATGTGGACTTTAATGAGTACCTCCTATGTATGCACAAATCCATCAGATTTAATAACTGTGAATAGTTAAAAGAACTACAAGACAACAGTCCCTCTGTATCCAAGGCCTCCTGTCCCTGGTGTCAGTTCCCCACGGTCCAGAAGACGATCCTCCTCCTAACGTACAATCAGAAAGTCAACAGCAGCCTCACGCTCCAGCGCAGTGCCCGCATCACCCCCTCACTTCATCCCCTCACATGGTGTCTTCTCTCTCACCATCACAAGGTGGGGTGCAGCGCAGTGAGGTGTTTTGAGAGACACACACACACACTTGCACCACTCTTACTAGAGTACACCGTCATGACTGGTTTTCTGCTAGCTGTTGTCACTCTCTTACTGTGTGTAACATACATTAAACTTCATCACAGGGATATACACGGAGGAAAAGACAGCACCAGGGGTTTGTTAACCATGGTTTCAGGCAGCCACTGGGGCTCTTAGAACATGTCCCTCGCAGGTAAGGAGGTAGACTGTACAGAAAATTCTTTTCATAAATGATATATATCACTTATTTGTTAATTAAATCTAAGCCGAGATGTGGTTGTATCAGACACAAATCAGGGTCTCAAATAAAGACCTACTAGGGTGGGAGGCAAGGAAAGACCACTGCGGGCGGCTGCATGTGCTCTAGGGGCATAGGGGCCCCACCCTTAGTAGCTTCAATGGCAGGGGATAAGTCTGTCCTCGTTTACAGAGTGATGCTTCCAAGCGAGCGAGGACACACTACAGGTCTCTGGCCTTTTCCACCTAAAGCTGTTCTTTATGTGCAGATGATTAAAGCTACCTTTAACAGGCTAAAAAAGAAAAGCACAATTTCAGTTAAATTAGCAAGTATCTCCCAGGGGTTTCTGAGTAGGAAACCTAATCATGCTGCTCAGAAGCCAAGAAGGCTGAGCTGAATAGACAGAGGAAGGGGACAGCGGGACTCGGGACAATGACCTGCCGCCTCTTTTGAGTCTCTCGGAACGGAAGTTTTCGTAGTGCAGGTCCTGGGTCACCTCCTGGAGATCCTGCATGTGCGTGCTGGAAGAGAACACACCGAAGTGGCTACACGCATGTGCTGTTTGCACAGAGAGAGCAGCCTGACAGGAGCGCAGAGGCCCCACTTATACCTGATGAACTACACAAAGTTGCTGCAATTTCGAGGTAAGAGAGGGAGGCTGTGGGGACACCTCTGTTACCTGCACGGAACACAAACATGCCCCACAGGACTGTTAAGGGTCTCTTGGGCTGGGCCTCCCCATAGGCACCAGCAAGCTTGGCAGAAAGAGTCTCCACTGGACAGAGGCAGATACACAGAGACTCTCAAGATTTTTTTGAATAAACAATGTCTGAAACAATATACTTTTCTAAAAGTATGAAAAATACACAACTCAAATATTCATGACTGCATAAGTTTAAAATCTGTACCAGAAGAGCTAATTAGCTTAAGCTATTGCAAGACCATAAAATGAAGTATTTCATGTTCTGGGTAAACGAGAAACAATACTTTGAATTTTATCTTATAAAATGTACATGTTTTTTTGCCCAGCTTTTTCAAATGCTTGGCACTCAAGAACCAGTAGTGCCTTCACATTCCCGTTTACTCGGATCCAGGGAAATGGGCTGAGGACCGGCACAGGGCGGCTCATTCTCTTGCACCCGGAGAACACAGGTGGCACTGCCCCTCCCTGCAGCCTCCGCAGCCACCGCCTCTGTGTGGTGACGGATCACAGCAGCCAAGGACCCATCCCTCAGGGGCATGAGGCACTTCAGCATCTTACATGGTGATTCAGTTATGTTTGATACAGATTGAATGATAATTTTAATGTTATTTTTAGTGATTTTAATTCGCTAAAAATAGTTAAACCAAGTGAAATATATGGAACATATAGAGCAATTTTCAGTTATTCAAAATTTAGATCAGCCATTTTTTGAACTCCTCTGATTAAAGAGGTAATAGATTTGAGCAGTATTTTTAGAGTCCAGAGCAATAGCAATGCATGTATGTTGCTAAATGTGAAATTTACTTCTAGAAGAAAAGGTCTATTTTCATAGGTCTGTTGTAAGTGCTAAGAATCAATGGAAGGTTCTCCTGGCTCACTGTGAGAGCCTGAGGCTGACTAGCTGTGGTACCTTTCAGACCAGAAAGGAAAGTACAGTGAGCTACAGGCCCTATGGGGAGCAGGCTGTCTCACACTGTTCCTGAGCCCCAGGCCTGTGGCCCCACTGCAGCAGCATGATGGAGCTGGAAGCTGGTGGTCAGCTCCCATGCCACACGTACATCCCTATTTGGAAGCTCTGCTCTCCGTGCCAGGCACTGCCAATGGGGAATGCGCACACAGCTTACATGAGCATTGTCCTCAGCTTCAGGAAGTCATTGTGCTCTGGGTTTTCCACCTCGACGACACCCCATGGGTAGAGGCGCCCTCTGACCTTCTTGCCTTTGGCTTCAATCAGCTGATTGGACCCAACCACAGAGAATGGGATACTGGCCTAGAAAGATACACACAGGGTAGCAGGCTTACACTGGGAAGGACCCCCAGCTTTCACTGAGAATGCGAGAACACTGGCAAGGAGGGTGCGGAGCACTCTCACTGCAAGGCCCACTTGACAAGGTGATGATCTACAACGTTCTACTTGCAAGTGGCAGATACTTTCCACATGGGACAAATGCATGAAGACCAATTACACCTGCAGTAAGAGCTCCCAGCCTGAATGACAGCAGCATCACAATACATCGGAGCAAAGTCATTACTGTAACTGAGCCCATGTATAGCTTCACAGAAGCCCCGCCTTCCAGGACCTAGCCCTTGGCCAACTCCCTCTGCTGTGAAAGCACGGACAACAGGACATGCAGCTACTTATACCATGCACGTGGGGACTGGGTCCTACTTTGAGAAGTCTAGTCTGCTCCTTAAAGTCTTCATCTTCATCTGATTCTGCATCAGGTAAGTGATAGATTTTGATGTTATGTTCTTCAATTTCATCCAGAATCTGGTGGAATGACAAAACCAGGAGCAATTTTAGCAAACTGCATGATCTTTTAGTCAAATCTAACTCGTAATATTAGAAATAGATCAAACATGAATAAAGAATCAAATTGTTTAGAATTATTTTCAAATGATTTTGCAAACTGCTGAAAAAGTAGTTGTTCATGTCACATTTTGAGGGATCCTCTGTCCAGAACAATGACGACACACCTCCACCTTCAATGTGCAAAGCAGCAGACTCAACAGCCTGCACCACAGCCCCAAGACCAACCCTCATCCTGGGTGCCTAGCGAGGTGCAGTGTGTGGAGACTCAGGAGGAGAGATACCCAGGCTGGGTGTTCTTGTCAAAGATACTACATTGTAGAAGTAACAGGAAATCCTGGGTGGCCAGAATGTAAGACATCCAGTCACACAGGACAGGAGAAGAACTTGGGTTACCAAGTGGAGGGTCCCCCCAATGTCAGGCTAGGGATCTGGAGATATAATAAGCAAAAACTGTCCTGCGGTGGAACTTCACACTCTGAACCATAAAGCAGGCAGTAACAGCTGAGAGGGGAGAAAAAGTTGAGCTGGAGTTGAAGCAAGCTGTCATTCATCAGTCAAAAAATTAAAAACCATGCCCCAAATGCCCCCACGTGCCAGGCACTCCACTGGGTGCAAGGCAGGCTGGAGCCCTGCTCGCTCTCTCACCAGGACCTGACCTTCCAAGGGGAGTAAGAACACAAACCAAATCAGCAGGAAATACCTGCTCCCTGATTGGTTCTTCTGAATGGGATGTTTTGGGGCTTGCATAATAAAAGACCTTGGACTTAATGCATTGCCTGCACTAACTCAGGAATCAAGCAAAGGCCTTTCTCGCCACCCACATTCTCTGCCCTGCAGCCTTGGCCTGCTGCCCTCTAGTGAGCCCTCGCTCCTGAATGAGGGGACGAGCCCCTCGCTCTGGGAAAGGCAGAGCGGTAAGCACAAACCTGCTCTGCCTGCTCCCTTTTCCTGCCTGTGACCCATCCCAGTCAATCCCACCTCTTTCCCTGGGCGGCCCTGTGAAGACAGGGCTTATACTGGGGATGAGAACAGAACTGAGACATACGCTAAGTAGTCTGTTCAGAAGACAGGATAAATGGTGATGAATCAAAAATGATCATGCATTTCTCAGTCTAGGCGACTGTAAATGTGTGGGACCATTTACAGAGTCAGGGAAGCTAGGAGAGCTGTCAGTGGAAGGGGGGGGCTCCTGTCTACACATGGTTTACATGAAAAAGGAGGAAGGTTCTTAGAAAGCAGAAGCCACAAGAGATGATAGGATCAAGCTAGTGTTATGCAATGCTGACAATTTAGGGATCAGAAAGACAAGGGAGGTGGTAAAAACGGGCAGAAACCCAAGTCTAGGAAGAGCATAGCAGCCCACCTGTGGTGAGGCCAAGGCTGGTGGCCGGCCCCCAGCCAAGCCAATAGGAAGCAAGAGTTAAAGAGGTTAAGAAGAGGGTAAGAGTAAGCCTAGCAGGAAGGAGAGGCAGCGGGGTGGGGGAGGGGGTGTCCAGAAGAGGGTCTTCTCGGTCAGAGTAGAGAAGGGGCCAAAGAAGGCGTGGAAAGACATTGCCATTCATCCCAGACTTTGAAGCAAGCCTAAGAGTTGGGTGAGAGCATTCTAACACTGACACGTCCCCTCCCTCACCTCTCCCTTAAGCAGTAATTGCTAAAATACTTTTTATCAAGCATAAAATGACAACCCTTTCAGGGACTCTTCCAGGGTCCTAAATATTTCCTAAAAAAGTGGCAAACAGTAGAGAAAATAAAGAAAAGGGCCAATACATCTGAGTCACAAATTTAAAAGCTGCAGCGGCAGAGTACACAAGGAAGTGAGAGAACACAAGTCAAACAGGGAGAGATTGTTTGCAGCAGGGCCATCAGTGTCTAAAAATACAAAAACATCTGTAGGTCAATTTATGAAATCAGTAAGAAGAGAGCAGGACTCTTAAGACTCAAGAGAACATGCTGCTGGGCATCAAGCCCCAGGATGGACACTTGTACCAACAAGCAGGAAGCAGACAAACCGGGCGCTGCCTCCTACTTCTCCACCAGGGAACACCACGGAAATGGTCACATCCAGGCCATTCGGGGGGTGGTGGTGGGAGAGAAGAGCTACACATTTGCTTTGGGAACAGAAGTTGCTGCAAGCTTGTTTTGAGAGAAAAACAGCCATCTTTCTAATGTTTAAATGTGCATGCATCTCCTGTGTAATGGTCTGCCTGCCTTACAGCACTCTAAGGCAGATGTGCGCCCAGGCCCATCACACAAACACTTTCGAGGAGCACGATGTGCCAGGTACTGCTCTCAACTCTTGGAATACACAAGTGAGCAAAGATGCCAGACGCCAGGACTGAAGGAGGCATGGGAAGACCAAGAAACACACAGGAGAAATTCAGGTGCCAGGTGCTATAGGGCCAGGTGAGTACTTGCTAGGTGTACTGGGGATTCACACTGTCCGACAGCAGAACAGTATGGCCCCATTCTGTAAAAGTAGGGACGTAAACAGACTCTTCCGGAGGCACGGCTGCCTACAGACCGTAGCTGATGTCTGGATCATCAAAGGCACTCGCCTGTATGACTCAGCGTGAGCTGGGAGCCTGCTGAGCACAAACGGAGCAGGTGAGCTCCCCTTCTGCCTCCCCAAGCTCCCCAGCCCCTCCCAGCTGCCCGGGGGGCTCACCCTCCTCTTCAGGCGCTCCCGCTCCTTCAGGGTGAGGGTGTCAGCCTTCGCGATGACAGGCACAATGTTCACCTTGTTGTGTATCGCCTTCATGAACGCAACATCTAAGGGCTTGAGACTGAAGAGTTCAGAAGTGTCACATATTAGGTAAAGAATAGGTAGATGACCCAAAACCTTTCTTTTCTCAAAATGACCCCAGTTCTTAAGCTGACTCATGCAGCGTGGGGGAAGCCCAGCGTGAGGCAGGCGGCTGTGGGAGGCCACGCACCCGTGCCCAAAGGGTGAAATGAAGTAAAAGCAGCAGTGCACCCTGTTGTCAACGATGTGCCGCCTGTTCAGGCCACTCTCATCGTGCAGGTACCGCTCAAACTGTTCATCGATGTACGAGATGATTGTCTTAAAACTGAGAGAAACACACTTATTAATCAAAAGGTACAAAACGCAGGCGGTCCCTAACAGAAAGCAAGGCTTTCTGTCTCCTGTCCTCCCACCAAATACAATTTGATAAATCACTGGTAAGGTGGGAACGGAAACCTGATTCCTACATTTGGCACGATGGAGGTTCTGCGGCTGTGACAGGCATGACTTCCCCTAAACTCTGGGGGTGGGGTGTCAAAGCCTGAGTGGGGTAGGTTCCAAAGAGCCTGAGATAACTGAATGGAGACAGAGGGGTGCCGTTGCTTCTGGGAGAGTGACTCTGAGGGCAGAGGGGCACAGACGGCGGGCCAGCATCAAGAACGGGGTATAGGATGTGAAACGGGGCAGAGTGCTGCCAGAATGGCCTGCGGAGGGAGAACTTCCTGACAACAAAGAAACACGAAACATTCTCCCTTCCTTTCCTTTTCCCATCTGGTGCTCCAAAGCTGAGCCTTAGGCTGGCAGGGACTGGGGCTTGACAGTTTGTGTGGGGCCATGGGAAAAGCTGCTCTGCTCTTCTGTTCTTGGCCTCATCTGGCAAATGAGTGTGTCTCTAGATTTCACTTTCTTGCACATGGACAGGAGGAAGACCATGCTACAGCATCCTGTCCGCTGCCCACAGTTCACATCAAGGTGTTTCGTTTATACTCACATTTAATGGATGGCTAGCTTTGCAGTCTGATCTCACTAGAAAGCTTAGAGAAAAAAAATACTCATTCTCTGTGAAATCTCTCATTCAAACAGTCACAGGTAAAGTGCTTTCAAGTGTCTCCCTGTTTTATTACATCTGCTACCCTAAATCCAAAGTTGCACACTGACACTGCAAGTTTAATACGTCAGGATGGGTGTTAACAAGCGCAGGGCCCTCAGCTCTCTCAGGGCCCCACATCCCTGTGCACGCACCAGTCCCTGCTGTTGATGGCATCCCCGTAGCCGGGCGTGTCCACCACTGTCAGGCGCAGCTTGACCCCACGCTCCTCAATCTCAACAGTTGAAGCCTCAATCTGGACAGTTCTCTCGATCTTCTCTACAAAAGAAGTCAGCTCAGTTAAGAGCCTGTACCTTAAAGCCAAGCCAGTTCGCAAATGAGAGACATGACCTGTTAGTAATCTTATTGCTATTAAACAAATGGAGTTTATTATTGCTCTTTGAGGAAGGTTCTTAGAAGATAATGTGAGAATTGTGTAGGAACAACCCCAGAGACACCAAAGAAACCTCAAGGCTGAGGTTAAAGGGTTGCTTGGCAAGGTTAAAAATCAATATTGGAAATTATGATTTCTGTTCCTGGGACTATCTGATGTCACTTAAAAACTGAACTAAGAAACACCTGGTGGAAAAAAAAAAAAAAAAAGAAACACCTGTTGAGAGGGTTGCCTGTCCTGCTGCGGAAGCCCAAGTCCTAGGCTCTGGCTCTGCTTAACTCATCCACTCAACGGTGTTTGTCCTGCCCTGGACCCATCGTCTACACTAGTGACCTTCTACTTATGGGGCTTCTATCAGAGACACTGTTTTCACCTGATCCTCACATCAAAAATATGATGTTGACAGAAGCTACTTACTATACGTTACAGACAAAAACACAAAACTCAAGAGAGGATGGACACACAGACGTGTGGTCAGTCTATAGCCAGGGCGCCAAGGCTTCAGGGGCACATCCCTTTCCCTACATGGTGCTTTCCTTCTGTTAAAGCTGAATGAAGACACACACAGGCTAAGGCATGAGATACTTGGTCATGCACTCGCTTGCATGCAGAGCCACACTGACCACAATTTAGGAGCTTCCGTACCTGCAGCTCCAGGTATGACTCTTTCTGGATACAGATCAGTCAGGAATAGGCTGTTTATGAGAGTCGATTTTCCCAGACCCGATTCACCTTGAAATGAAAAGGAGAATATTGTCGTGAGGGCTGTCCATATGACGGTTACTCCACGGAGGCTGGGCACCATGTAGGTGCCTCACAAGCATCATTCTCTGTACCCCAAGCGATGACTGCAACTGGTAAGATCGTTTCACTGATGGGCAACTGGGGGTCAAAGGTCATAAACTTGCCCACAGTAGGAGCACCTTCCAGGTTTGAATCCAGGTCTGTGAGACTCCAAAATTCATACATGGTAAGATCAGAGATGCGATCTTGCCCTTCAAAATGGGTGGGTAGAGACAGGTTTCTTTTTAATAGAAAATGCATAGTAGGTTTTCAGTTACAAGTTTTGCTTATCATTAAACTCATCACATCTTTGTAAGACTGAACATATTTGTCCAATGCTGCCTCCCAGGCAACGCAGAAGGGAACTGGGAAGACACCTAGGCTTATCATTAAACTCATCACATCTTTGTAAGACTGAACATATTTGTCCAATGCTGCCTCCCAGGCAACGCAGAAGGGAACCAGGAAGACACCTAGGGCCCCTGCGACCTCTCGCTGTAGACAGACAGGCAGGAGTGGGCCATCACTTCCCCGTTTCAGACATCCCAGAGCCCACTGCTGGTGATGCCCCACTCAGTTGCGCAACAAGTGTTCTCACTCAAGCATCTAATGAGTTAAGAATCCCTCTTCAACTACTGTGACTCCATATTCTGAACGTTTCAAATTTGATTTCAAATTTGGTCCAAACCACCAAGATTAAATTTTATATTCTAAGGAAGAATGAACAGATCCCATCACTTTCAGTGTAGGTTACCATCTATGGCTTCATTTTGCATAAACAAGTGCTTCTGAGCTTGGGACCCTGCTGTCCCCAGATGCTTCAGTCTGCACTGCCCTCTGCTACGTCCTGCATGGTATGTGGAAGGGGTACACACCTGTTTCTAAAACCTTTATTTCTGAGAAAATCAGGAACAAGAGTGAATTTGAAATGTGTAGACACCCAAAATTAGGACTGCACTCCAATTTGACTGTGATTTTCACAGAACAGAAACATTGAAAGGACAAAATTAGTTATGTGTTGAATGTGTCCAAACCTAAGAGCACAAAAACATGACTAAATGCACACGACCCCTCCAAGTACTTTTTTAAAAAGTATCCAGCAGTGCCCTCTCTTTATTACACCGGAAGGGGATTTCACCAGCGTGCGCTAAGTCCCTTCCATGCGCTGGCACAGGCTGAAGAGCCAGGACCGGCAGAGAACAGGGGAGTCAAGTCCGTGCCCCTCTGGGGCTCTACAGTCCATCCTGACTGGGTGGCAACAGCTGTCTGAGCCCAGGGGCGGCACAGAGAATACAAAGCTGATGGTTTCTCTTGGAGCAGGGCCTCCTGACTTAGGGCACAAGTAGCTCTTGGGCAGCCGTACGAATAGTCTGCTCAGTAATGCAGAGCACAGGCTGCTCTTGGGCTGTGCGTGCTCCCCAGCTCACACCAGCACCTCAACCCCGGCAACAAGTTACTCAAACAGGCGCCTTTACAAGCGGAAAACGAGACTCAGAGGAAGACGTTTATTTAGGCCAGCGCTAATTCCTCAACATCCAAGAGTCAGCACATCCCGGGGTGGCGAATCTACTTTATTTACCCTTTAAGAGTAGTGATAGTCAAGACTGGGAAGGGAGGCATCCAGACTACAAAGGGCTCCTGCTTTCACCAGTGACAAGGAAACAGCATCTGGCACAAGGTGGCGCCACCACACAGAAAACGCGCAGAGGGAAGGTGGAGCTCCCTCCGCTGTAGTCTTTTCTGAAACCCTGCCAGGCGGACTGTCATGGAGGCTGGACATTTTAATCTAACAAGTTCTAGACTAACAAAGTAAACAGCAAAAGTGAGGCCAAGCCAGGGATGCTAGGAAATAATGAGCTTTCTCACCTGGGAAACTTCTTTTCACATTTACTTCTTGATTTTAACATGAGGAAACTGCTTTTGCAAACCTGTACCAAGGGCCCACGCTGGGCAGTGTTCCACGGCTCGGTGCGCTCTAGGAGCCTGTGAACCTACAGTCATGCAATTGCTGAAGGGTCAGCTCACATTTTCATAGCTTAGCCCTAGAGCTCTCAGGCTCACCGTCATCCTCCTGTGGGCGTGGTCACATTAACCCCCCTACTTTCCACCAGGTGATAAATTTGGCAACAAGCTTTGAATTTTTGTCCCGCTGTTGTTTCAAGATGAACTAGCCTCCCCCCACCCCCCACATAATGGGGGGGTGATTACCTTGGTTCACTAACTGTCACCTCACGGACTCTTCAGGGCACGGTCATCACGTTTTCTCACTCACAGACGACCTGCCACGTGACGGGGGCAGCTTCCCTCCTTGATGTTTTCAAACAGCTTAGTTCTGATTTTAAACCCCTTTTAGACTGCTGCCCAAACACCCCCTGCAAGAGCAATGCTGAGCGCTTTCACTTTTCACCTTTCTTCGTAGAAGTGAAGTGAAAATCCTCTTTGGATTTCTTCCAGTTGGCAAAAACAGGTTCTAACGTAGGTCTTACATACACTTAGGAAAAGGACTGACACCTGCATACCCTTTTCTTGAACTGGTAATGATTACAGTGTAAAAGTGGAGGGTTCTGGAGTTAACTGTCTCGCTGTTTCTTTCCCATCTCAGCCTTAATCCCCAAACTACCTGCTTTACTTTGAATCAACTTTACTGAGTCTCACCGATATGCCTGGGTTAGTTAAGTACACTCGTTTAATCTACAGTTGGGATAGTTTTGCCTGAATACTGCTCAGGCAAACAAACCCCACTCAAGATAAATGACCCCATGCCACTGGAGTCACCTTTGCCCTCGCCAGCCCCCACAGCATGCACCCACTCATCTACCCGCCTCCTGTCTCACTAGATGGGTCTGGATCACTCTGCGACTTCAGGTACAAGGCATCTACAGCGTGCCCTCTCTTGCGTCTGGCTGCTTTTTGCTCGGTGTAACTGATCTGAGACTAGCCCGAAGTGGCTGCATCCACCAGTAGTAGTATGTGTCTTGTACGGCTGAGCAACATCCCACGGTTGGATCTGCCAGCTTGGCCCAGCCTCCCACCCCAAGACAGCAGGCTATTTCAAGAAAGTGGCTGTGAACATTCGCATGCAGTTAGTTTCATGCTGGTGCTGCCGTTCCTCTTGGCTAGCTTCCACGGAGGCAGACTGCCAAGTTGCACGCTGTTTATAGCATTAAGTATGTAACAAACAGGTTTCCAGAGTGGCGGTGTCGCTCCATGTTCTCACCAGGAACCAGGAGTACCCACCTGGCTCCAGGTCCTCACCAACAGCCGCTCTGCCAGCCTCTAGGGGGGTACCCAAGTGGGCGCACGGCACCACCTGTGCCGGCAAGCATGCACTGCCGCCCCCCACTCCCCGCCCCGTGAATGAGGGATGCCGTGTGCGCCCTGCCTACTGCGGCATTCTGCAGTTTACCACAGAGCTCAGAACGTCAAACGGGCTATCCTGTTTGATAGTATTGTTTCAATATTCTATTTAATTCACTACTGATTTTCTATTTTCTCATAAATTACTGTGAGGTGTGTTAAAAACTCACATATTTCTCTATCAATTTTGCATCATGTATTATGAGCTGTTATTAGATGAACATGCAGGGTGTTGTTTTAAACCAATTCCTTTATCATTTGTATTTACTCCTCCGTCTCTGAGAATAATCAGATGGAGACGTGAATTCTCCTTTGCCTGATAGTGATAAGACCATGCAGCTTTCTGATTAGGGTTTGCAGGGTAGTTCCCCATTCTTTTATTTTTAACCTGTGTTTCTACGCTTGAAGTATTTTTGTTGTAGACAACCGAAGGCATTTGGTCTGATCTCTGCCTTTTACTTTGCTTATCTGTGTACATGTAATTATTGATGGGGTGTGCTCAAGTCTGCCGTTTGCCGCACTGTCTCTGTTTGCCCCATCTCTTCCATTTTCTGTGGGATTGAATACCTTTTATTTTATCCAAGCTATTGACTTGTAGCCAAACCTTTTCCTAGCAGCTGCTCTGGAGTTTACAACATGTGCCATTAACTTCATGTTTGTGTGGACACTGGTGCCTCACACACCATGGGAGAAGCTGGCACAGCATGCATCTACTCACCCTCCCATCCTTGGGGCTGTTCTTGCACGTTTTATTCCCACGTGGCTACATTGCTACTATTCTGTCTCAAAGCCAGTTATCTCTGAAACAAACTAAAAAGCAAGGGAAGCACTTATTTACAGCACACTGGCCATTTCCTCTGCTCCTCTTTCCAATCTGAAGAGCTTCACCCAGCCTAGGGTACAGGTCTGACAGTGATAAATGCTCTCAGCTTATTTATCTGAAAATGCTTCATCTTTTTTCTTTGATTATTGAAGGTTGTTTTGATCACACAACACTGGGCAGATGGCTTTCGTCACTTTACACTGTCATTCCACACGGTTCACTTTACTCCTGATGAGAAGTCGTGGCCTTTCTTACCCTAGATCTTGTAAGGAATCATTGTCCTTTCCCTTAGCTACTTGTGAGGTCTCTCTGTCCGACAGCAGCCTGCATCTACCCGCTCTGTAGTGACCTGCGTTTCTTTGTACTTACTTGCTCGGGGCCAACAGAGTCTGGATGCTGTTCCCTCTTCTCTTCTGTGCTTAGGCCCATCAGAACATATTTCATCTCATATGTATCTTTTTTAACCTCTAGATGTTCCATTTGCTTCTTTTTTATTCTGTACTTTAACTCATTACATTCATGCTTTCCCTTTAAATACAGGCACATACTTAAGAGAGTTACCGTTCTTATTTGCGAAGTCCCTCATCTCCACCACTTCTGGATGGGCTTCTACTGCATGATCTCTCCTGGTTTTATGCCACATTTTTTTGCTGCTTTGCATATCCAGTAACTTTTCACTGGATGCTGGATATTGTGCACATTAACGGTATAGACACCTGGATTCTGATGTCCTTCAATGAGTGACGGGTTTGACCTGGCAAGTAGTTATTTGTGTATCAGCTTGATCCTTTCAAGGCTTGCTTATAAGCTTTATTAGGAAGGGTTTAGATGGCCTTAATGTCCAGAGTACTAAGCAAGGACTTTCCGGAGTTCCTAGTGAATGCAGTGTGATTTCTCCTCTGGTTGGCTGGAACTCCACTCTCTCCTGACCTCACTCCAGTTTTCCAACTCTATGCAGTCTCCAGTTCAGCATGGTCTCCTGGTGGCTGCCATTTTGCCCAGCCTCATTGGAATCTTACCTTACCCATATGAATTTAGTCACGAGGAACCCCCAACACACATTTCTGGAGCCCTTCCTCCTCTCTTCTGGAACTCGGTCTTGCTGCCTCCGTGTCCAGTTACCTCAGCCTCTTTGGGGTGTGATCCCTTTCTTCATTGCTCAGGTCACTGTACCCCCAGACCTGCCCTTCCTGTGGCATGGACAGGTGAACAGTAGAAAGCTGGAATGACTTCACAGTGCTTGTAATTTATTTTCCTTCTCTCAAGATCAAAGTCCTTTGTTGCCTGTTGTCCAGTATCTTAAAAGAGCTGTTTTATGTATTTTGGCCACTGTTCTACTCATTCAGGCCAGGAAGACTAGTCTTCAATCAGTTATGTCAGGGGTCAGCAAACTATGGTTCTCAAGTCAAATCTATCTTTCCAGCTCACAAAGCTTCACTGAACACTGCTTTGCCTCTTCCCTGATGGAATGTCTACAACTGTTCCCAGCACACCAGCAGGCCTCAGCAGCTACATCAAAAAATGTACGGTCCACAAAGCCTTAAATACTATCTGACTTTTTATAGAAAAAGGTTATTAACCTCTTGATATCATGGCCAGAAGCAGGAGTTACTGCCTGCCTTCGAATGCTCTAAAACTAAGTAACTGTGTTAGATTGCCCTGGGTTTCTTTTCTACCAGGAACTTGAATTTATATCATTATCACTATCATGTCATTATGCTCCTAAAACATGTCACCACCATTAACTTCTCTAGATCAAAGGTCCCAGTTTCTTTTCAGATATGTGTACTATTTACTAATAAAGAGTATTACCAAAATAATCACTTGCCCATCTCATGCCTGATTACCATCAAGCTTTTCCAATGACGGCCCTCACTGTCTTCTGGGGACTCTGCAGTTACAGAGAATCAAGTAAGATAGGACATGGGAAGTAGCATCAACAGTTCAGCAAGTTAAGCTTGTCATGGGCTCAAAAACAATACATGCCGTGGTCCACAGCAAGAGATACCTGACAACAGGAAAAAACGTCAGGTAACCCCTCCATTTCAAAGGACTTTAAATAATTTGTTAAAACTTCACAGAGGGTCCTTGACTTACGATTTTTCGGCTTTCTGATGATGTAAAGGTGATACACATTCAGCAGAAACTACACTTCAAGTTACTTGAAGACTTCTGATCTTTTCCTGGGCTACTGACATGTGGTACACGTGGCACAGCAGTCCCTTCATGATGCTGGGCAGTGGCAGTGAGCTGCAGCTCCCAGTCAGCCATATGATCATGAGGGTCTACAACCGACACGCTGACCACCATGTTTTTTTCACTCTTAGCACAGCATTTGATAGGTTACATGAGATACTCAACACTTTATTACAAAATAGGCTTTGTGTTAAATGACTCTGTCCAACTGTAGGCTAACATAAGTGTTCTGAGCACCTTTAAGGTGGGCTAGGCTAAGCTCTGATGCTCAGCAGGTTAGGTGTACTAAATGCATTTTTGCCTTATGACATATTCAACTTATGGGTTTATTGGGACATAACCTCACTATAAGTTGAGGAAGGTCTTTATTGTAAGGGTTATTACTTATTTAAAATACATCCACCACAAAAACTTAAGTAGTCATGCTTTGGATTAAATATATTAGCTGTATTAAATATATTAAATGTGTAACAAATTACGTTAACACTCAGAGGCCTAAACCAACAATAAACATTTTGTTATTTTCTTACGGATTTTTCTGAATCAGGTATTTGGGAGCATCTAAGGTTGGTGGTTATTGCTTGGGTGGGGATGGAAGGGTGTTTTTAGTGGGTAACCATTAATATCAGTCACCAGCAGGCTTAACTGGAGCCAGAGGGTGTTTGAGATGGGTCGCTTACGTGGCTATTGGAAGGCCTCAGTTCCCAGTCTAGTGGACGTCTTTATAAGGCTGCTTGGGTGTCCTCCCAACACGGTGGCTGCTTTCCTCCAAAGTGAGGGACTCAAGAGAAGGCAAAGAACAGGCTGCAGGTAGGTCTCTGACCCAGTCTCAACGTCACACACATTTGTTTCTGTGATTTCTTACTGGTCACACAGGGGAGCCCTATTCAGTATGGGAAGGACTAGAGGGCATACTGACTGCCAGGAGGCAAGAGGCACTGGGGGCCATTCTGGAGGCTGACCACCACAGTAAATAGAACTTTCACTACATATAAATAAGGAAATGACAGAAAAATTGTAATTTTACTCTTCTGCAGAATTTTCCAAAGAGTTTTTTCCCCTAAATTCTTAGGTCATTTGATTCTTTCAACAAAGGATTTTTCCCTTTGGTTTTATAGGTCACGCTATTACATTCCACAGGCTGGCGACAGGCAAAAGCCACGTAGTTAATAAGCTTGAGGGTATAAGGTAATTTCTTACCGACCACCATCAGTGTGAACTCGAAACCTTTCTTCACAGATTTTCGGTGAACTTGGTTGGGAAGATTTGCAAATCCAACATAGCCAGGAGTTTCTGGATTTATAAACTGAGGTGGTTGTTGCTAAAATAGAATTAAAAAAAGAGAGAGAGAGAGAGTGAAATTGAACACCTTACTTGTTACTCATAAGATACAAACATGTGACAAACTCAGGTATCATTAGTTCTCACAAGTTAAAAAACACATAAATCAACACTTCCAGAAAGTCACTTCTATGAGAAAATTGATGGTATTCAGTGAAGAACATTTATGAAAAAGAAACACTGATCCAGCATTAGTCCATATCTATAGTCTCACCTAAAACTACACTTCTGTTAAGCAATTAAGCAAGACAAAAAAGACACATGCTTAATTCATCTCAGTACAACTTCAAAATTTTGATTTTATAAATCGTCTATAGTTTCAGGTAAGTCAGTCCAATTACAAAGTAATGCCACAATTAAAAGTGGTCTCACCCAACAAACACAGCTGAAGAATAGCTTCCCAAGCAAATACCTCCAAGCATCAGGTGTGACACATTTGTGTGAAGTCTCCAGAAAAAAACCACGTCTCTATATTCCCTAGGAGTTACGGAAGTGTCAGCAAGGGGAGGCGGACATTTTAGGAGTGGGATGTTTAACTATCTAGCTTCAAAGCCCAAAGGGAAGACCAATGAGAAGGTAGTCAGACCGGAGGGCACTGCAGCATCACTGTCCCCTGCTGGGGGCTCCCTCATGGGGGAGTAACAGATGAAGACACAGCACAACTGCAGCATCCAGGGATTGGACTACTCAAAGTGGGAGGAAATAAAAAAAAAAAAAACGATTCATCAATTGTAAAGAGCAAGATATAAATAAAGTAGTGTTTCCTTTAGGATCACATTTTGCAAGTGTATATGCTCATGTGCACACACAGGTGTAAAACGTTATGGGGTTACTTGCAGGTCAAAGAATGGCAGCTAATCTTTATTTTCTGTTTTGCTTACTGGTGAGCCACACTAATACTTGATTAAAAAGCAAAAATTCGTATGATGACTACACATCAGATAGTAACAAACACCCAAAGACTCCAAAATAAAAGGAAAGAGAAATCTTAATCTTGCAATTTTAACCACAAGTTCCACTTTTTTCAGCATGTCTTTTAGAACTAATTTATTTCAAGGTTCTGGGCTAATTGGCAAGAGTTCATATTACACCAATTTATCAAGTCTAAGAGCCTCATCAATTTCATCATGATAAATTATTAGAATCTGAAATTATTATTTGATTCATCTGCTGGGAATGATCTAAAGAGGCTAAATGGACTGTTAGTCATATACAGAAACAAGAAATTGAAAATCTGAAAACAGAAAGCTCCAAGCTACTAGGAAGACAAATTATAGTTATGTCTTAATGAATCAAATATATCAGCTGTATTAAAAATAAATATACATTAAAAATAAATATAACTCTTGAATATAAAGTTTGAAAAAATAAAGCAGTTTCACCTTACACTGTATATACATGATGAAATGTGATCTCTTACCTTAGACATCTTTTGTGAAGTTTTGTCAATCTGTTAAAAAAAAAAACAAAAAACATCCATATACGTACACACACATTTAATTCAGCATAAACTGACATCCAGAGAGACTTACACCTAAGGTGTCAACAGCCTGTATCACTCAGCCTCTTTCTCAATTACATAAAATACACTTCCCCAGAAATGATGGAATTATCATCTCATTACAAAATTAAATATAAACATGACCTCTGGAATTATGTAATTTCCTTTCTTTCAGTGAAACCTTTCAACAAGAAAGGGCGCTTGCCTGAGAGGCACTGTCTGCTATCTGGAGATTCTTCAGCTCCAGAGAACTAGATTTTTACCCTGGGGCCCACGGCAATATGCCTACACTTAAAAAGGAAGGAGGCCTTGAAGCCCCCGGGTGCTGGAGATGTGTGACAACGCCTTAGAGGTATCTGGAATTTTAGAACAAATTTAGAAGTCTTGCAGCTTTGGGAAACTTTGGGAGTCTGTTGGGCCAACCTCTGATAACAAAAGTCAAGAAAGATAAACGCAGTCAAATTTGACTCCCTCTGGAGCTTAGAAATGTGTCCGACACGGCTTTCACTTTCTTGCCTCCCCATTTTCCCCAAACCTTAACATTCTGAAATACTACACACCTTAAGTTTCCCTTTGGAGTTAATGTTCCCAAGCACCTCTGAAGACATGGGCCCCTGCACCCTTCACAGGTGCCTTAGTTACCAAGCGTAAGACAGCAGTAGGACTCACGGGCCCTTAATCCCGCCGTACTGAGTCACAGAAGGTAAAGGTCACAGCCCTGGTTCCTCTTTCCAGGGCCCACTGGGAGCCTTCCTCTCATGTCTGGGAGGAACCAGATGGGGACTGGACGAGGAGGGTGAGACCGGTACTAACACGCATGCAGTCGAGGTAAGACCCGGACCACCACAGGAGGACCGCTGACTGAGAAGGAGAGCGAGGCCGGGTCTAGAGGACAAGAGCACTTCCAGCCTGGATAGCGGGGTGACGTGAGCTCAAAGGAAAGTAGGAATGCTAGGCGGAGGGGCAGCAGGAGGGGGATTCTGAAGAACCTGCCAGCAGGGCAAGGAATATAGTGGATCCTGGGAAAGCATGGAGAGCAGAGGTCCAGAGGTTTGAAAATCTGGAAAAAATGATTTCCTAGGCCCTGTAAATTACCAAAATGGAACCAAGAACTAGAAAACTTGATCAGAATACCACCGATCAGCTGAATAAAGATCTAGCAATGAAAACGTGACCAAGACTGAGTAGAATTAGAGCTGAATTCCAGCCAGCCCTCGCCAGATAGCATCAAGTCACTTTAGGCCACTACAAAAAAAGGGAAAGCAGTCCAGTTTACTTAGGAAGACAGCAGAACTTTAATAACAAACACAGAGGGAGGCCTAAGGAAGAAAGAAAGCTGGCTAGAGTAGGGTAGATAAATTTTATGCATGACCATAAATGCAAAAATTCTCAGTGACATATTTGCTAGCCATTAGATTCCAGAAATGTACCAACAGCATCTATCAGTATATGCCATTACAACAAATTAAAGGAGAAAAGCACATATGAACAGATGTTGAGGAAGCGTATGATAAAATTAAGCAACTAACTCTGATAAAAATAATAAAAATATTAGGTAAGGAAATAGCTTAAATATAATTCATGGTATTTCTGAAAACCAATGGCCAATGTAACTCTCTAAACAGTGGAATGCTAAATTGATTTAAATTACAGTCACTAATTAGGTTGCGATGCCCATTACACAATAATTTTAAAACACGAAAAATTTCAAACATATACAAAAGTACAAAACCCCCATGTAGCGCCTATTATCCTGCTTCAACAATTATCAAGTCAATCCTAGTATTATTTCAAATATCCCCTCAGCCACTGTTGTCATCCCTGATTATGATTACTAGCTGTTTTTAAAAATAAGGGCTCTTAAAATTAACAAACCATCATCATAAATTAAAAACAGCTCTTTATAAAACTTGAATTAACATTCCATATTTCTCTACTTGTCTTTGTTGTTGTTCAGATAAATAAGTAAGATCTTGATATTGCAAACTCACTATGATTATTTACTATTACTTTGGCAAGTTCATTGAAAATGCAGTGAAATAATAAAATGAAAAGTCAGAAAAACTTTCATGCTGATGACAGAATACACAAAAAGCATACATGCTCTGGCTTAAAAAAAATATAGAATAATATAATTTAGTAAGGTGGCTGGATACAAGATAGATATAAAGTAAATTTCTTTCTGTACTGGCAGGGAATACCAAGGAATGGAAACAGGGAAACATGCAATTTACAGTAGAATAAAGAAAAGAAACAAATTAAACCCAAACATGTAGGAACAATTCAGAAAGAGTAAATGCCTGACGATCGAAAAGACTGGGCACTTGCCTTACCAACTACCTCATCCATCTGATTTCCAATCAACTCAGTCTGACAGAGGACCATGCAAGTTTCTCCTGAGCTTCCCAAGTCCTCCTTACCAAAAACCCCGAGGCCCCAACCAACTTCATTTGAGCACCCTGACAGCGCTGCACTGCGAGCCCACCAGTACTCATCCCTTAGCTTGTACAGTAGGACTGAGGGTGCTCTGTATGAGAGAAAGGGGAACTTCCACTCCTATCAGTTTCCTCCCACTAAAGACCTATCTTGATGCAACCCATGAATGGGAAAATGGAGAATATCATGAATGGAACAGGCTTTGAATTCCTAAAAGACACTTCCTTCAACTTTGCTTTAATATTAATTACCAAGTTCCTTTTGCCACATCCTACTTCATATTCAGATTTTGTTTCCTGAAATCTAATTTGGATCCACTACGATTTTCTAACAACTTAAGTTATTAACTAATGTAAAATGCAAGTTGAAAGAGTTATGTTGAACTTCTGAAGCTCCTGATTTTCAGCGAGAATGCCTTGATCCAGCAACAGACTGCCAAGCGCTGTGATTAATTTAAACCCCGGGTGCAGAACTCTATTCTCCAACCCTCAGAAATGTGGTCAAACCAAAATTTTATTCTTTCAGGATGTGCTCATTCTAGATGCTATGAATTGTTTAATTTTTCTCTCCTTGACCCATGGTTGCCTCTTCCAGGGAGCAATTCTCCCATCCCAATTCACATTGAACAAACTTCTAAAACAAAAGATGAAGAGCAAATAGATAAAGCTGGATTCTTAGCAATATATACTTATTTTGCTGGTGGTATTAACATTAGTGGACTAGCCATAACTATGATTCACCACCATGTTATTCTTGTATTTACATACATCCTCCCAATCCACAAAATGACCTGCAGTGTAGGACCCCCAAAGGTCCATAACCCCTTATCCAGAGCCCTTGGAATGTTCTGGCATTCAGGTTCTTTGGATTTGAGGAAGGTACACGCATGGTTTACCACATAATGCCCTCAGTGACATCTGCGGCAGCACCCTGTAAGTAAATACATTTTCTGTAGTCATGTGTATGACAATTAGCACAAAGTGGGATAAATACAGACTGTGTACATTGATTTACCCCAATTCTGCCAAATGAGAAAACTGCCTTCTCTGGGAAAAAAGCAAAGACAAAAACAGCTTTTCATTTTCAGCAGTTACTGTTTTTGGAGTTGGGTCTAAAAAGGGACCTGATTTACATTTATGAATGGTGACAGAGGAGGGCCCCTCCATTTCCCTAGGTCACCTTGCTAGTTCAAGAGCAGTCTGAACGCAAATCTGATCTGATTTGAGAAGCTCCTATTCTTTACCCCAGCTGCAGTGCTGGGTTGGAGCAAAGTGGAAAATGGAAAAAAGTACCAGGACAACTTTTACAGCTGAGGAGATCGATCACTGCCAAGATTTGACAGAGCAGTACACGTGTGAGCCAGGATGCTGGTGCAAAGAAGGCTTGAACTTGAGCTGGTAAAAATGACAACCATGAACCTCCAACTGTGAACACCAGGAAAACAGCTTTCCCACCCCTGTGCGCCGTTACACTTCTCATGATGACAATGTTGACGTAAAACATCAAGTTTATCTCGAGTTACTATGATTTGAATCATTACAGAAATATCTGACAGAAGTTTCTATGTGTGGATCATTGTACTGGTAATGGGAAAGGTGACAAAATTCACACATCCCTTGCCCCTCCAATGACTAATGATCAAGTGGACAACTACCATACAAAACCATAAAGGCTAACATCAGGGAAACACCTATCGCGGCCAGAGAAAGTCTACTATGGGACAGTCCTAAATGACGGAGCAGGGATTAGGAAAGCAAAGGGTGGAGGTGAGGAGGGAAATGGGTTCCAGACAGAAGGAAGGGTTTGTGTCAAGGCCAAAAGCGAGAAAGACCCACAGCAGTTTGAACTAAACGTTCAGTGTGGTCGGGTCTTGCACCTCTGTGTGTGCGGTTGGTAAGTACGGTAGGGGTGGCACTGGCCAGCACTAGTCAGAAAGGTGGCCAGGTCCTGTGGGCCAAGCTAGCGGAGCCTTTACTGAGCAACGACAGCCACAGGTCTGCATCCCCCTCTCAGGCCTCCAGGCGAATGGAGGGCCCATCATCCCCAGAGCTCCCTCCCCCCGGATTAAGCCCTGCACAGTACAGGGGCCGCCGCCTCCCGTCCCCCCGTGCCCTGCCTTATCTGCCGCGAGAAAAGGCTTTGGAAATCACCATGGCGTCAAGACTCGCTTGATGCTTCCTGTCTGCCAGAGCGGGCAGGGTGGAAAGGCCCCATTGTCCGGACGACCATGGGTGGCCGCACGACGAAAACGCGCCCAATAGGGCACAACCTGCACTTTCCTTCCGCGACTACTACCGCCACCGCACGTTCGGCGCCTCAAACCCGTTACTGAGACCAATTCACGTAATTTTCACGGTGACTAAAGTGTCAGTTGGGTTCTCCCAGGAGACACCTCCGCCGCCTCGGCCCGTGCCAGGCCTCCCGGGCAAATGAGGAGGGCCGGAGAGAGCCCCGGGACCGGAGGGTCCGCCGCGGTGGGGGTGGGAGCGCGGGGGAGGGGCGGCCGAGGGCGGGGAGGTCCCCCGGGGAAAGGATGGCCGAGGGCCCCGCAGGACCCCCGGGGAGGGGAGGGCAGGGGGCGAGGAGGGGCGGGGGGCACCCCCGGGGAGGGGATGGGGGAGGGCCGGGGAGGACTCGGGGTGGAGAAGCGCGCGAGGAGGGTCGGGGAGGACCCCGGGGTGGCCGCCCCTCCCCCATGCCGCGCGAGCCCCCAGAGCTGGTTGACCGCCGTCCCAAGCAGGCCCCATATCCCTCCTGCGCCGGCTTATTGTGTGCGCCCCGCGGCAGCGGCGACCCACGCGAGACACTCACCGCCACCCAACTGAAGAATGCACACCGACCGACCGACAAACCGCGCCGAAGAGCCTCCCAGCGTCCACCGTCTAGCTCCCCGCCACGCCCCGCCCGCGATCGCGTCATGCGTCATCACGCCGTCCCGCCCCCTGCCAACTCTTTCCTTGCCCTCGAGCGACCCGGCCTTCCTCCCGCCCCCTTTCGCCGGCTTCCGAGTGCGCAGGCGCAGGCTCGTCCGCGGTTTCCGCTCTGCGCAGGCGCTGTGCCCCTCCCACGGCGGTTGGCCATATAGAAGCTTGGGGGGGGGCGGTGAGGGAGGTCAACCGTAGCCTCTTCTCCTTTACCAAGATGGCGACTTGTCCCTGTTTCTCCACAGTTCCTACCTTATGAGCTTGGTTTTCTAACGCTGGTAAGAGTGGAACAGGTAATGTGATTCTTCACCTTGAGGGTAACTAGAGAGGGGGTAGGGGCGTTTCTTTAGAAGGAAAGAAGTGGCAGCTAAGGAGACCACGAACGGAGGGCCAGTGGCGGTAGGAGCGCGGAGCGACCACAGGGCTGGAGTATTCGCCTCTTGTGCTCGCCTCCAGGAAGATGGCGGCAGCACCGAGCTGGAGGCTCAGGAGCCGTGCTGCGGAGCTCCGCGAGCGGCCAGGCGGGTCTGCTCTAGCCACGTTGCTGTCGACTCGGTGGTGCGGAATCTCGCCTTGATTGGCTGCCGTTGCTCACGTGGGTCTGCGGGCCTGTGCACAGACCATCGAGTTGGACGTGCGTCCCCGGGGATGTTGCCTCCGTGCACCCCGGCTGGGCCTGCGCCCGAGGGGCCGGGCGCTGCGGCATCGCCTACCCTTGTGGTCGGTGCTGGGGAGACGCGGGCGGCGTCCGCAGGTCGGCTGTCGGCGACGTGGCGGGGCCGACCCTGCGCGTCCTTCCTTCCTCTCGGCGGCCTCCAGGCCCACAGCTGTCCGATACTCAGACCGAGGCTAGGCGCGGATGCCCTCGTCCCGGAAGCCTTCCTAGATTACTCGGACTCGTAGTAAATACGTATTTAGAGTCTGATGGGCGACAGCAGCATAGCTTTGGAACCCGAAGCTGTTTTCTGACGCGTGGGATATCGACAGGGCCACATGTTTTGACATGATGAGACACTCGGGGCCACTTGCTGAACATCTTCTTACCCCCGACTTGAGAAAGGGGAGGGTGAGACTTGCGAGGGTGTTTGGGTGCCCTGTAAAAACCACAGAAAAAGTCTTCCTGTGTAGCGTTTACTAAACATTGCATCTGGTCAGATGAGACATCCGAAGGAATATAGAGGAGTCGAAATCTTCAGTGTCGAGTTGACTCGCCCACCAGTTTTGGGTTTTGTGGTGTCCTCGGTTTAAAGCTACCTTAAGCCCTGTGGCAGTGACTGTTGTGTTTGGTGTCTGCATAAGGGCAGTCATTCTCTTGGCAGGTAACTTTCTTAAGGCCCTATTAAGATGGAGCACGTTACCATTAGAAATCTGACTCAGCCTGTAGCACTGTAGGATAAAATATGGAATGAAACAGTGCTGGGGCTTAGACTTTGATCATTTTGAAAACACCTAAGTACCCCCACGCTAAACTTATTAAGTACATATAATACTAAGATTCTGGGAAGCAGCGATTTAAAGTAGTTGAGAAGATGTTAAGAATGGCTTCCGTATTGAACTCCCAGTTCTGTGGGTCTGAAATGTCAACTATCAACCCATCAGGAGAGCTTTAGGCTTGGAGAACACAGAACATACCCCTTCAAGTCTTCAGGGACGTTTGGAAGCCGGTTGTTTACAACGAGTATTAAACTTCCTTGTAACTGCCATTAGCTCTTCCATGTCCCATGCACTCATCTCTAAGCAAGTTAAGGCCATTTGAGTAATAGCATTGCGTGTGAGGACAGCACTCCTCAGAAGCAGTCAGTCCACATTTCTTGGCACCTGCAGGCCCAGCTGAATCCTTGTCACAGTGCCCTCTCCAGTGGGCAAGGCTGACTTCTCAGTGACCTGATGGGAGAATACCTTCTGGATTCATCAAGTATTTTTTTCCTTTGGTCTCTTGTTTGGGCTTCTGATTGTCTGACTTTGGCCTCATGATTTCATTTCCACATTTCTATTAAAAAACCATTTATCAGAAGTTGCAGTGTACCAGATACTGTTGAGTGTTCTGGGGATGCAAAGGTAAAGAGGATATACACTTTTTCCCTCCCTCAAACAGCTTATGGGCTACTATGAAAGATTCACTTGTGAAAGAATAATCAGATGACAGTGTTCTATGTGCAGTAACAGAAATATGTACAAGATATGGAGATAGGAAAGAGGAGACAGTGATTACCTGTTGGAGAGTCTTCACAAAGAATGTTCTTGAACTGGAATTTACAAAATGAATGAGTATTTACAGGTGGAGTTGGCAGAATGGGGTGTTCTAGGTCAAAGACTAGCTTATGCAAAGGGGACGTATGACAGCTATAGCTGGTGGCATACGTGGGCCAGAGACTGAGAATTTGGTGCACTGCGAACATCTTAAATGGTGGAAGGCTTGGCTGAGATCCTGTGAGGGGCTTTAAGCCTGTCAGTCAGTCCTGCTAAGGCAATCTGACTTGGACAGGGTTTCACATAATTATACTCTCCATTGGGATGACGTGTGAGCCTTAGTCACAGGTGGGTCAGATGAGTTCTCCATTAATGTTTCCCAGCTGAAACTTACTTATTTACCAAAATAGCGTGAGCAGATAACACACTTTTGGAAGTTCAGTACTTAGGTTTGGCACAGCCCTTCACTGTACACCAGTTCCACAGGGCCATTGACCATAGGAAGGCTTTTCCCACTTTATTTTCAGAAATAACCAAGCCCTTGGAAGAAACGTATCCCCCAGCTGAGTAGTTATTGACCAGGTGGAAAAGCGGCCAGAGCACTACAGTCTAAGAATGCATCTGCCCTTGCGTTAGAACACCACCACAGCATCAGCCATTTGAAAATCAAGAAAGGAACTATTTTCTGTGTATAATACTTTCCAAATTGATCACACAGGTTACTTTGGGGGTAAAGTAAGTTTGGTTTTGTTTTTCGTATTTTTAAAATCAGAGATAGTTTAGGAGTGTTATCCCTAGTAGGCTGTTGTTCACTGAAGTTTCTCAAATAACCATTAAAGACCAGCCAGGTGTGTTCCAGATGTGCGGGCATCTTCTTGCTCTTAATCTGGCAGCAGTATGTTGACCATGCATACTCTCCCTTAATACTTTTTATTGGCATTCATATGAAGATGATTTGATTTCAAATTAAGGCTCTATCTTCATGTAGTTTGTAAGTCAAATAAACCTAGAAAGGCTTTAAGGAAAAATTACTGATTTCCTTCTTTGCAGAGCATGCACACTTGCCTCTCAGCTGATCTCTTTGGTCTTCACCTCCAGCTCCACACTGTTCTTTGTCTATTCACTGGACTCTGAGAGTAGATATGAAATTTCAGCTTTTATCCCTCTGCATTCTCTGTGCAGACAAGTAGATAGATGACCGCCCAAAGCAGGACTGACTTTAATTAGGTCCTTGTTTCCTGTTCAGACTGTCTAGTGGCACCCCAACAGCCAAGCCAAATGCTGTGATGGGGGCACTTTTCCTTTCCTGGGTGAGTTTTAGTTTTCCCTGAAGTCCTTATAAGTCTTGTTGTGCTTAGTTTTCTATGTAACTGTCATTAAATTCAACCCAAAATTCACCCTTTGTCTAAATCTCTTTTCAAGAAATGCAGTCTTTTTTATCTAATGAAAGTCAGTATTTTATTACTCTCATCTTGAATAAATCTCTCCCAGACCTCCCTGCACATCATCTACATTGGGTGTCCCTGGAACCCACGTCTTATTCTTCCTTGATTTTTTTTTTTTGACCCTCATTTTGATGGAGCACTTCCTCAAATAGTTGTCCTGGAACAGATGTGTGGCAGGCGAAGTTTTGAGACCTTGTATGTCTAAAGGGCTTTTTTTCCCTGCACTAACACAGCAGTGAGAGTTGGGCACCGTTTTGCTCTTTAGTGTTGAAGTCTGAAGCCATTCTGATTCTGAACCTTTAGATGTGACCATGTTTTCTTCTTTGAAGCTTGAAGGATTTTCTCTCTGTAAAATTCAAAACACACAGAACAGTAATGTCCCTCGGAATCTTTTATCATCTGTGTGTCACCTACACTTTGGATCCCTTTATTTGGAAACTTCTGTTCTTTGATGTTGGGCATCTGTCTTGATTTATTGCTTCAATTTCTTCTCATTCACTTCCTCTCTCTTCTCGATTTCACCTGTTGGGCCTTCTGGATTGACACTCTGATTTTCTTAGGCTTTCCATTTTCTTTCTGGAAGACATTCTCAAATTTATTCTAGCCCTTTCATTGAGTTTTTCTCATTTTATTTCTAAGCCCTTTCTCTTGTTCTATCTTATAAATACCTCCTGTTTTCATGGATATAGTATATTCTCTTATCTCTCTGAGGACATCAGTAAGTTTTAAAATTTCGGTTTCCCTGAAGACACTATTTGCTTCAGGCAGCTTTTTTTTGGGGTTTTGACTTCCCTATCAGAGCCTTTTCTGGGTTATCTGGTGATGTTTGCCTGCCTGCTCATACATCAGAGGGCCCCTGAGCTGCTTCGGGACTTGCCGATCGTGGTCTTCACTGCAGAGGCACTGGGCTGGGCCATCGCCTCACGGGACCCCATCAGCTTCTTCAGTCTCTTTGGATTCTCCAGAAAAAACACATTCCAGCCTCTTGCCCAGCTAGCTGCTTGTGTTCTGGGGGTCAAATGAGGAGAGAAGGCTACAGTCTTAGCAATAACTATGGAAGAATTTACTTCCCCATTAGGAGTGCCCATTAGGGTGCCCATTAGGAGTGTTATTTTTAGCTTACAAGTTGAGTTTCACTTAAATTTGTAGATCTTTTGTTCTTTGCTACTCCTTTGTAGCCCAGCTGTGGATTTGCCGTTTTTCAAGTGTGTGTGGAAATGCTGGTAGAAAGTGGACAGTAATTGTCAGTAGGAAGCCAGATTTTCTAAGAAAAGCAAATGGCCAGTAAGCAGAGTAGGATTTTGGTTTCATTGATATGCAAAGAATTGACATTAAAATCATATTTCCCTACAGATTGGAAAAAAATAACATGACCACTTTTAGTTATCAAGGTGAGGGGGACAGATACACTCCTGGTGTGGGGTATAAATAGTTAGTTGTAGCTTGTTGGGAGGGTAATCTTGCCTTGTTGATCCCTATCCATGCATCCTCTGTAATCATATGCAGGTACAGGCTCAAGTGAGCAGAGGGTATTTTAAGTGTTTGTAACCACCCACTAATAGCAACATCGATAGGGGATTTATAAGTTATGTTTATTCCCATTCGACATATCCTTGTTAATAAACAATGTATATTTGTAAACTTGGAAAAACAGCCATGATGCATTTTGAAGTGGACTAAGTGTAGCAAATGGTAAACAATGCACATAATATGATCCTGTTTGTATTTAAACCATATGTTAATATATCCAAGAAAAAAATACTTGATATAACAATTTTGGAAATATTTTTTGGGGAAGAATCATGAGGGATTGCCAGTTTTTACATTGTTTTGTTGTAGTTACATTTGTGCCAAAAATCACATTATTTGGTAGACCACTACAG